TCAGTAAAGAGGACCGTGCAGAGAGTATAACAGGGTGACCTAGCTGCTCAGGTATGCTACAGTTAATGTCCTTTGTACAAGAAAGGTGTTGGGTACTTTTCAGTAAACAAAACATTTCCTTCAGTTACTTCATACAGCAGGCCAAAGATGGAGCAAGAACTATACAGCGGTTTAGAAAAGCAAATACTCACTGATTCCTTTGTTTAATTAACATCTTATTACATAACCTGCTGAAAGACATTAAATAAACTACGAATCAGTGTGGTGTTTCCGAAACTGTTGTGCGCCAAATACTAGATTTATATTATACCGTAGGAGATTAGAACAGCAATTAACATGGGTAAATGTAATTTTTCATTTGACTTAAAGCAGAGTACTTGTTAACTTTAACTTATCTCCTTCCCCCTGTATAAAAAAAGGTTCTCCGCAGTTCTCACCCCTGCATAGGGCCTTTTGGGTAAGCACCTAGCCTGAAAAACACATTGAGGAGCTTTGTCGATGCCTGTGTGTAACATGCCTTCTGCTAGTGAATAAACCCGTTGAATAATGCAGTTAGTTAGCATCACTGACCCAATTTCTGTGATGATTACTGTGGGTCTATTTATCAAAAAACATTTTGGACAAATTTAACAATAATCTACCCATCCTTGACTAATTGTGACTGTGTTTTGCTTAAAGCGGACCTTCATTCTCTCAATCAACATGGACTATTTTTAATCTTTATGCTGCTAGCATTAGTAAATAGATAGGAAAGTATATCATATTACTTGTTTTGACCTTTTTTTTGCATTCCTTTAGTTACTTTATTTATTTATTAGAGGTACTTATATAGCGCCATCAATTTACACAGCACTTTACATATACAGGTGAAACTCAAAAAATTTGAATCTCGTGCAAAAGTTTGTTTATTTCAGTAATGCAACTTAAAAGGTGAAACTAATATATGAGATAGACTCATTACATGCAAAGCAAGATAGTTCAAGCCGTGATTTGTCATAATTGTGATGATTATGGCTTACAGCTCATGAAAACCCCAAATCCACAATCTCAGAAAATTAGAATATTGTGAAAAGGTGCAATATTCTCGGCTCAAAGTGTCCCACTCTAATCAGCTAATTAAGCCATAACACCTGCAAAGGGTTCCTGAGCCTTTAAATGGTCTCTCAGTCTGGTTCAGTAGGAATCACAATCATGGGAAAGACTGCTGAGCTGACAGTTGTGCAGCAAACCATCATTGACACCCTCCATAAGGAGGGAAAGCCTCAAAAGGTAATTGCAAAAGAAGTTGGATGTTCCCAAAGTAATGTATCAAAGCACATTAATAGAAAGTTTTGTGGAAGGGAAATGTGTGGAAGAAAAAGATGCACAAGCAGCAGGGATGACCGCAGTCTGGAGAGGATTGTCGGGAAAAGGCCATTCAAAAATGTTGGGGGCTTTCACAAGGAGTGGACTGAGGCTGGAGTCAGTGCATCAAGAGCCACCACACACAGATGTATCCTGGACATGTGCTTCAAATGTCGTATTCCTCTTGTCAAGCCGCTCCAGATCAACAAACAACATCAGAAGCGTCTTACCTGGGCTAAAGAAAAACAGACCTGGTCTGTTGCTCAGTGGTCCAAAGTCCTCTTTTTTGATGAGAGCAACTTTTACATCTCATTTGGAAACCAAGGACCCAGAGTATGGAGGAAGAATGGAGAGGCACACACTGCAAGATGCTTGAAGTCCAGTGTGAAGTTTCCAGTCTGTGTTGATTTGGGGAGCCATGTCATCTGCTGGTGTTGACCCTGGATTCAATGAAGCACAGATGACCAACACAGCCATCTACCAGGAGATTTTGGAGCACTTCATGCTGACTTCATTTTCCAGCAGGACTTGGCACCTGCCCACACTGCCAAAAGCACCAAAACCTGGTTCAATGCCCGTGGGATTACTGTGCTTGATTGGCCAGCAAACTCGCCTGACCCGAACCCCATAGAGAATCTATGGGGCATTGCCAAGAGAAAGATGAGAGTCATGAGACCGAACAATGCAGAAGAGCTGAAGGCCGCTATTGAAGCATCCTGGTCTTCCATAACACCTCAGCAGTGCCACAGGCTGATAACTGCCATGCCACACCGCATTGAGGCAGTAATTGCTGCAAAAGCGGCCCAAACCAAATACTGAGTACATATGCATGCTTATACTTTTCAGAGGTTCGATATTGTTCTATGTACAATCCTTGTTTTATTAATTGCATGTAAATTCTAATTTTCTGAGATTGTGGATTTGGGGTTTTCATGAGCTGTAAACCATAATCATCACAATTATGACAAATCATGGCTTGAACTATCTTGCTTTGCATGCAATGAGTCTATCTCATGTATTTGTTTCACCTTCTAAGTTGCATTACTGAAATAAATGAACTTTTGCACGATATTCTAATTTTTCGAGTTTCACCTGTATATTGTACATTCACATCAGTCCCTAACCCTCAAGGGGCGTACAATCTAAGGTCCCTAACTCACATTCATACATACACATACTAGGGACAATTTAGACAGGAGCCAATTCATGTATGTCTTTGGAGTGTGGGAGGAAACCGGAGTACCCAGAGGAAACCCACGCAGGCACAGGAAGAACATGCAAACTCCAGGCAGGTGGTGCTGTGGTTGGGATTCGAACCCACGACCCTAGTACTGCCAGGCAGAAGTGCTAACCATTTAGCCACTGTTTAACTTCCTGGTTTCCATGCCTAGGCAAATGATGTCATACATCTTAGGAGTGTTCAGGAGGTAAGGGAGGGTTCTCAGTTCAGCCAATGCCTGAGCTAAGGGCAGATGGATTCCAGGAAGTAACTGCTACATGAATCATCTGCCCTTGTTTAAGATGGCCACTGCCAGTAATGCCAGGTGTTTTTCAAAATGATTTATCAGCTAAATAAAGCATGAAGACATGGATGGAGGAGTTTGTTTTGAATATTAAAAATGAATTATATAGACTTTTTGGATTGTGGTATGGGATGAAGTGTAGTTCCACTTTAAGATGGTGATTTCTTTTTATCATCAGCTCCATCTAGTGGGCACATATGATTTCTCAGCAAAATAAAGCATTGAGACATTGATGGATGGAGAGGTTTGTTTTGAATATTAAAAATTAATTAAATAGCATTTTTGGATTGTGGTATTGGATGAAGTGTAGTTCCACTTTAATATGGTGATTTCCTTTATCATCAGCTCCATCTAGTTGGGCACAATGCGTTCTTTTGACTAGATGAAGCTGACAATCATAGGAAGTAGTTGTACTAAGCAAATTACAGCCACAATTCATCTAATATGAGTGAATGCGTGTCATATTCGTCCATACATTTTTTTATAAATAGACCCCTAATGGGCTACAAGGACTCTCCACTGCCGGCTATTGTATTCATGCGATCTAAGCACCCACAGCTGCCTGAATGTATCTTGGATGGATATAGCATGTGCATTATTTTATAAATCTTAAGGTATGTAAAACAAACTAGACTGAGAGGTCTGAAATCCTTGCCCACAATTTTGTTTCAGGTAATGAATCTTCAATGCAGGTAAAGCGAAGACCTTAATGACATCTTTGAAGCCTGCATGCTCAAAATAGTTTAGCAGTGGCTGTTCCCAGATTTTCTCACCAGTCCAGTTTAAAGGCCAAATCTAGGCTTAGCTTCCTGGCCCCCAGAATGAGTGGTGCAGTGGTGACGTACCTAGAAGAGGTAGTCTCATGATGCTATGCAATTACAGCATCAGTCATCTGTCTTCAAGGATGAATGACACAGGCCATCATTTAACCTGAGGACACAACAGCTCAAGAATAAAGGTGAATAATGCAGCCTGAGCATTTATTTTCATACACTAGCTGGGGAACCACGTTATTTAAAAAAAAATCACCCAAAGTTGGGCTTTAAAGTTGACTGTTACTTTGCTTATACTTGGCAACTTGAAACTTAAACAGGTGGATTGTTAGCGATCCTGTCACTGGCGAGTGTCAACATGGCACTATAATGAAATATACACACAATTAGGAGAGAATAGCACTGGCTTCATGCTGTGACTTTGGTAGAGGAAGTGTCTTTAAAAGGACACAGACAGCAAAGAAGACCTGGTTGGGGGTTTTCTCCATTTCTTGCTCTATCATAACTAAAAACAAAGTTTTGGCTATAGATGCACTTTAACCTCCCTAGCGGTATTCCCGAGTGTAGCTCGGGGTAAAATGTCTGTACCAAAAGCGGTAACCCCGAGCTACACTCGGGCTTACCATGCGGCGCTGCATAGGGAGTCCCTCCAGCACTTACCTTGTCCTTCGCTCCCGCGATGTGTCCCCTGAAGCGTCCCTGGCCATCTCCTCCAGCTGATGCCAGCATCCGGCTTCTGTGTTCTGGTCCCTGTGACGTCGAGACGTACGGGCGGCGGGAAATTTGAAAATTTTAAAAAATTTCATTTTTTTTCCAAACAAATTTTACATAGTAAAACATTGCTGTTTCAACCCATTTCACATACATTTTGTCCCTACTGCTTTGTCCGGCACCCTGCCTGCATTTTGTCTGTTCTTACTGCCTGGAAACTGAGAAACGTCCATGGTGTCCAAAAAGTGTCCCTTTAGGTCAAAAGTGGTTTTAGACCAGCTAGAGAACAGCGATAGTAAATCAGAACTACTTGCAGAATTGAGTGATAATGATTTGTGGGGAAATTCATCATCAGACACTGAAAAAGGTTTTGCGACTTTGCTCAGCAATGTGCGAACTTGGCGCTAGATTTCAAATTTCAGTGTTTTCGGTTTGATTATATTATTGAATTAAATGTATTATTATTATATTATTATTTTTTATGATTATTAAATTATAATTTATGATTTCGTGTTTCAAATTTTATCATACTCGGGGTGTTTAATAGACTCTTGTTCGGACAGATTTCAGTGAGTTATTCCTAAAAATTAAAGCCTACAATAAAAAAACTACATATTTCCATGCAAAATAATGGTACCGCTTTCAGCACCAAAAATCTGAAATAATCATACCGCCAGGGAGGTTAATGATTGATTTTACTTGTGGCCTAGAACTGCTCTTGAAGAGATGAACGATTTGCTACAATTTACCATACACACTGTACACATGATTATGGCACAATATTTTATTTTAAATTCAATAAATGTTTTCAACTGTTCAATGCAAAATAAAAGATTCTCATCAACGCTGCATGCAACATTGAAAAGATTAAAGAAACCAATCACATCCAATAGTGCTGAAATACCACAGTATTTATATGGTTGTGTGTCACTGGCTGGCCTATTATATCCACGTAGAACAATCCTTGGGATTGGAATGCTGCCATTATTTTTCTGTATTAATCAGTTCTTTGATGATACTCAAAATCTTGTCATCTGTGGAGGCAGAGCAAATATTTATTATGTTACATACATAGACTGCTTTACTGACACTTGTCATCAATATGAGAATTAATTGTACCAGCTGTAAGATTTCCACAAATTGATCCATATTCACCAATATGCATGATGACTTGCTGTTTTGAAACAATATAAAGAAGCCCCAAGGTGAAACTTTCTAATGTTTATGTGTTAACTAAAGAAAATTGTAAAAAGATATTATATTAAATTATGCATTATCCTCAAGGCTGTCCACTTTAGTCTATTAGCATGAGTCTTTCTCAAATTAGAAAATGACTCAAGGACCACCATTAATGATTTATGAGACTAAACATCATGATTGGCGAGGAGTTTCTTTGCTTAACTTTTTTAAATGAAGCAAGAATAAATGTTGCTTTGGTTATGTAAATCCAAGGACACGTTAAACCTGATAAACTACCCCAAGAATGAGTAATCTGTGCGTATGTATATAACAAGTATATACCATGAAATGATACACCTTAATGTTTCTGTTTGACCTGCACTAAAAGAATGATATAGAATGATAGCTAAACAACTCCCGTTATAGTTAGCATCTCAGTATTTCTTTTCAGAACTGTGTTGGTAGTAGCTAGAAAAAAAGATCACCTACCTTCAAGAGACATTTTAGGGTTCTGCAGCTTTTTCTTCAGAACAGATTCAATTAAAACTCGCAACTCCTTAAAAATAACTGCAATCTTTACAGGAGCCTGGAGAAAGAATACAGAAGAAGCCTATAGTCAAGAGTAAAAGAATGCAGATTAACCTGTACCTATAGGCAGTGTTCTCCTCCTGAAGAGGAAAACCCACAATCAGCTGACAGCCACTTCTCTTGAGGCTACTGTGAGCTGCACCACATATAGGAACTCCTATATAATGGCTGGCATACCAGTAAAAGGTGGTTAAAGTGGGAGGGGCCAGAAAGTCAACGAAAAGAGACGAGCATGAACAGTGGATGAAAAAAGGGGCAATGTGGTATATTAAAGCCATTTATTCACTGTTTACACCTTGATATTCTCCAAGTTTGTACCTGGAAATGAATCCAGTCATCTACGGTCAGAAGACGTTCCCGATGTTGTACAGCGATATCACCACCAAACAAGAGGATCGGGAAGGGAGACACCAATGTTTTTTCTCTAAGGAAGATCTTGGAGTATTTAACCTAAATAATTGACAGTGAAGTTAGTATGACTGGTATTATAAGATATGGTGGTCTGCATTTCCTACATACATATGAATATACTGGTGCCTTCCTACTATGATACTACTGCGAGAATCACACATAACCCAGATGAGACAAAAATCAAGCTGACTGATCAGATACATTAAGAAACATACATTCTAAAAGGGAAACTGAAGCCCACTAATATTCATTACAAAAAGCATTGATATGTAGAAAGCCAAGTCAATAATATGCTATTTTTTAAGGTAAAGCAGCTTTCTGATTTTCTCATGGGACAGCTCGTTATATTGTGATGTCAACAAATCCAAGTAAATGTTTCTTGTTAAAGTCCAACTTTGGGAATTTTTTTTCCAGTTAAAAAAAGGTCCGAGTGTTATAAAGGAAAAAATATGTTTAATCTGGAGCTGTCCACCACAGTACCACCTAGCATAACCCAAGCCACAAGACTGGGCAGGGCTTCATGGCCCCACCCTCTGAGGGCATCACTAAGGCACCATTTACATTATAATAGTACAGAGAGTGGTGCTGATGTCAAATGTCAGTGCCACTCTTCGTTACTTTGGACCACCTATCCTGTGGGAGAGGCAAAGATGAAGATGACCCTGCAGTGTAAACATACTGAACTAAAGACTTTGGAAAAGGTATGTATTAAAACAAAAAAGAAAGAAAATTAAACCAGAAGAGGGGGGAAGGGAAACTGATCTGCACAAATATGCACAGCTTATATACCAGCTTGTATATAAGAATTGACCTCCTAAAGATGTACCATTTACAAGAAGTATACTGTATCAATCAAACTTTTCCAAGAAAATAAAGAAGATGATATCTGACTGATTCCTATGGGCAGCAGTGTCATTCCTGTCCCACTTTTTTCAGATGTGCAACATATTCCTTTACAGCTGTCATGATAAAGGGTATGATCATCAGTATATATACATGTCATGATAAAGGCTATGATCATCATACACAGTATACACATATATGTCATGATGAAGGGTATGATCATCATCAGTATACACATATATGTCATGATGAAGGGTATGATCATCAGTATACACATATACGTCATGATGAAGGGTATGATCATCAGTATACACATATACGTCATGATGAAGGGTATGATCATCAGTATACACATATACATCATGATGAAGGGTATGATCATCAGTATACACATATACGTCATGATGAAGGGTATGATCATTAGTATACACATATACATCATGATGAAGGGTATGATCATCAGTATACACATATTCAACCCCCAACGTCATGATGAAGGGTATGATCATCAGTATACGTCATGATGAAGGGTATGATCATCAGTATACACATACGTCAGGTATGATCATCAGTATACACATACGTCATGATGAAGGGTATGATCATCAGTATACACATATACATCATGATGAAGGGTATGATCATCAGTATACACATATACGTCATGATGAAGGGTATGATCATCAGTATACCACATATACGTCATGATGAACGGTATGATCATCAGTATACATCATGATGAAGGGTATGATCATCAGTATACATATATGTCATGATGAAGTGTATGATCATCATTATGAAAAGAACATATACGTCATGATGAAGGGTATGATCATCAGTATACATATACGTCATGATGAAGGGTATGATCATCAGTATATATACACGTCATGATAAAGGGTATGTTCAGCAGTATACACATATACGTCATGATGAAGGGTATGTTCAGCAGTATACACATATACGTCATGGTGAAGGGTATGATCATCAGTATACATATACGTCATGATGAAGGGTATGTTCAGCAGTATACATATACGTCATGATGAAGGGTATGATCATCAGTATACACATATACGTCATGATGAAGGGTATGATCATCAGTATACACATATACGTCATGATGAAGGGAATGATCATCAGTATACACATATACGTCATGATGAAGGGTATGATCATCAGTATACATATACATCATGATGAAGGGTATGTTCAGCAGTATACATATACGTCATGATGAAGGGTATGATCATCAGTATACACATATACGTCATGATGAAGGGTATGATCATCAGTATACATATACGTCATGATGAAGGGTATGATCATCAGTATACACATATACGTCATGATGAAGGGTATGATCATCAGTATACATATACGTCATGATGAAGGGAATGATCATCAGTATACATATATACGTCACGATGAAGGGTATGTTCAGCAGTATACATATACGTCATGATGAAGGGTATGATCATCAGTATACATATACGTCATGATGAAGGGAATGATCATCAGTATACACATATACGTCATGATAAAAGGGTATGATCATCAGTATATACACATATACGTCACGATGAAGGGTATGATCAGTATCATATACGTCATGATATCACATATACGTCATGATGAAGGGTATGACCATCAATATACATATACAAAAATCAAGCATTGCTGTTGGACTGTTTTAGACTCTTGGCATTATAAAGCCTCGCCTTTTCTTGAAAACTATTGCTCTTTGCCACAGTGTCTTCTCTGCAGGTGCTAACCACCAACTGTAACATGCATCTGGGCCAATTTTCTGACCTGTGATTCTCACAAGTAAGAGGTAAAATGACAATTTATATATGTCCCCACATTACAATAAGTCTCACCTTCTCCTGGTAAAGGAGCCAGCCGTAGGTCTGTAGGTCTCTGTTCACAGAGGATGGGTGTGCTTGTGCTTTTCCTTGTGCCGTTTCCACCATGCACGCCAGCTTTTCTGACATATCCACAGACTTTGTAAAGAGGATTTTGCCAACATTATCATACAGTCCAGCAGTGAGCACAGCTTTAAGGAGAGATGTCTCCTCTGTAGAGAGAGCTTGTCTGTCCCCGCTTCTGTGAGCTCCAGGTCGAGAACAATCAAACCCTGCCGCCCTCACCAGTCGAATCAATTCCTGCTTTACATCCTAAAAAAACACATAAAACAGGTTACCTTAAGGAGAACAATATCTAGCCAAGGCTGGCCATACATTATACATTTTTCTTGTACAATTTTCCTCTAGATTTATCAAAACCATATAATTTGAGGTCAAACCTAAACACTTTCATTTTATATGTAATCAGGCAGGCCCTTGCACTACATAGTTGAAGCTAAATCTAAAGGGAATTGAAGAAGAAAATTGTATTATATATGGCCAGCCCAAGTCAAGAAACCTCTTAGATAGCACTTAGCCCTGGGCTTTAAATAGTATTTCCACTTTTGCAGCCAAATTGGGATTTCACCTACTTTATATTTTTGACATGTTTTCATTCGCATAGCATAACTTTTATAACATTTAAAAAACAATTGCTGCTTACCCCATTTGGTGTTCTTTTTCTAATGACTTCAGGTTGTGTTTGCCACATTAACCCTGCCTGTACTCTGCTGACAGATCTCATTATCAATTATAAGCTAGATTTGAATACTATCTGCCCTAACAAAGGGTTAAAGATTTAGAAGCTGGTCCTCTGTGTTGAACGTAATGAGAGGAAACTAAGACTGTCCTCAGCGCTTCTATCAGGACAGACCTAATCTGAACTTCTGTGCAGTCTCCTGAGAAACATCTAAAAGGTAAAAAATATTTTTAAAAAAAGCGTGTGTGAATGGCATAATGGAATGACATAACAAACATATAGTGGGGTTTTCTCAAAATTGACTGCAAAAGTGGAAAATGCACCTTAAGGTCTCACCATAAGATCAACATACTTGTTAAATCCCCCAAGGGAGTCAATGCACATCACACTTGGTCCCACTAATCTGTGCAGGAGTTGCTGAGAGGTGTTGCCAGACAGCTTGCCCTGCGCCCACCCACAGCTATTCAACAATATGGGACAAAGGAGACAGCAGTTCTGACTGACAGAGCAGAGGTGAGGGTGCATGGCAGGCAAAGCACACAGAGCCCCCACAGTCCCCATCCATACACCTCCTCTTAATCTTCCAGACAGAGCCCTGTGCTCCCTGCTGCTCTCATCTGCCTGGAACATTGACATCGATCCACTTACTAGTTTGGAGGAGAGGGAATGAAGTAGTAAGACTGTTGGCTTGTGTGCTTGTGAATGTCAGAAGCTGCACAGGAGGACTATCATTCACAAAACCACAAACTCACAACAACACAAGCCAACACATATTACATTTGGTCGTGTAGTGGCTTATGCCACTTTTGTTTTGGAATGACAGTTTTCCTCTTCAGCTGCTTACATTCACAAGCACACATCTGACAGCCTTACTACTCTACTCTCTATCCCCGAGTATCTAATGGCTGGGACAGTGTTTTCTATCACTGTTAAGGTTTATTTACAAAGAACATGGCAGAGGAGATCAGAAAGGGGGCTGAAATATTCATATAACAGAGCTGCAAAATGAAGAGAGGGCAGGAGCTTCACTGCTGGCTCTAACTTCCCCATGGGATTACCCAAAAATCTGGGCTTTAACAAGGGGTGGAGTTACAACCAGCAATGACAGACAAACAAATGTGGTTTTATTTCCAAACCACAATAGGACTTGAACAAAAACAAGTGCAATGTGCGCTGGGTCCCCTAGGAGAGGTAAGGGTTAGTTCACACTAGATGCAGTTCAGTGCGCTTTTTTCTGCATCAAAAATGCAAGCATAGTGTTTTCTATTTATCCCAATGGCCCTAGTTCACACATGTGCAGTCAGTTCCAGTCAGTTTCCGGTGCAGAATGAAAAAATAGAACATGCTGCATTTTTTCTGCACAGAACCATACTGGAACATAGCAAACTGCATCAAAACTGCATTGGAACTGCGTGTAGTGTGAACTGTAAGCAAAATCGTATCGCATCCAGAGTGCATTTTTGTGTAGTGTGATGGCCCTAACAAGCATTTTCATCTTCTGGTGAGTTCTTCTCTAAAAAGAAAGGAAAGGGGAGCAGAGAAACTGTGCAGGAGGCAGTGTGGGTAGCTGTCAGTGACAGCCTAGCTCTGTAATATGCAGGACTGAGCGGTCAGTTTGACAACTTGGTCCTACACAGCGCATAAGACAATACAATGCAAAAGCAGAAGAAGCTCCCACTCCAGGCTGCACCACCTAGCATGATGCCCAAGGCGGGAGCCTCTCCTGCCTCTGCCAGCCTGCTTTTGAATGTAACCAGGCAGTGGCGTCACCTCAGTACTACATGGGTTAAATGCTTGTTTGGCTGGGAGAAAGCAATAAGTCGGAATACTTGCCATAATTCCAGCCTCTGAAAAAGCTTCTGAAGGAACTTAATTCTGCTGCCCAGCAAGCCAAACGAACATTAATTTCTCCCCAAGCCTAGTGAACATACAACCCATGCCATGCAAAGGGGGAGGGGGGACCTAAAAGCAGCCTGGAGTTGGGCTTTAAATACAAAGAAATATACCTCTGGAGAATGTAATTTCAAATAAATATTACTTGCAATGAAATTCTGTGCCAGTACCTCTATAGTTAGAAGAGCCTTTCTGTTCAGGAAGTTCTTCCTACAGTAACTCATCTCTGAGCCATATCCTTCTGCTCGGATCTTCTTCCATCTACAAAGAGAAAAGAACCTGAATCTAACGGTCTATTTAAATTATAGTAATAGATTTAATCTTTATCAGTTAATTACTGTTACATTTTCTACTTTACTACACAGTTGAACCAGTTTATGAAAATTAAGATGTGCCCAAAACAACTTATTGAATTCTAAATGCATATTTTCCCATCAGAAGGTAGATAACTGACTACATTCATCTAAATCCCATCAGCTTATCCCCCACAGCTATTACCTTTTGTATCACTCAACCCCTCCTCCTAGATACACAGAATATAACTGGATACTAACATTTATAGGTAAAGTTGATCCAGGGAATATCCGATTGCCTCTCGGGGGATCAGGAAGGAATATTTTCCCAGCAGGTGCAAATTGGATCATACTTTGCTGGGTTTTTTGCCTTCCTCTGGATCAACTGTGGGTATAGGATTATAACTTTTTTTTTATGGTTGAACTGGATGGACTTTTGTCTTTTTTCAGCCAGACTAACTATGTAAATTGTAAGCTCTAACAAGCAGGGCAATCTGTTTCCTCTTGTACCAAATTGTATTGTAACTGTAATGTCTACCTTCATTTTGTAAAGCGCTGTGCAAACTGTTGGCGCTATATAAATCCTGTAAAATAATCTTTGTTTTTTAACTTTGATTTTCTATTCCTATTGGCTGGTCACACATTCCTGTTATCCTGTTGGAATTTGTGCACTGTTAGTTGTTCCTAAGGACCAGGGCTAAGAAACATGGATTAAGCTAAAAGTGTGCAGACATGAAGGTCCTGTGTACAGCCTGGTACTAAAATCCATGGGATTCACAGGGACATAGGATGCAATTTATATACAAAAACAATTCAAGGTGTCTGCACTGCATTAATATTGTCATTTTAATTACAAGGGCAGGTAGCTATTACTGGCCACTACTACTAGAACAGACGGCGTCCTTAAGTTCAAGCATCCCAAATCCTGCATTTATTCATATGTACTACATAAATTACAATTTTATCACCTAAATAAGTCCTCCCAACAGGTTAAAATCTTTGAATGACACTCAGAGTTCTTTAAATCCCCATTTCTGCCTTACCCCGCATAGGCACTGAAGATAGTCAGGTGATCAGAGTTTGCAAGTGCCACCGAAGACTTTGCAAGGTCTGCCTCGTCTTTTCTACCGATAGGTGTTACAAATGGAGATTTTTCAGTCATAGTAGCAGCCAGAGTCGCCTATCATGGAGCAATCACAACACAAAATCAGAACCATCTTGAGTAGAATACATTTCTAATAAATGTTTATAAGTCTTTTGTACAGTACAAGGAACACTAGCAGGTTATTAGGCAAGCCAATTTATCTCTATGCCTGCAACAGTTTGTACAGAGAAAAAACAATCATACTTACTACAGCATCGAGACAGCCAAAAATAGCACCAAAAATGAGCATTTTTCCAATCTTTACATTAACAGGCAGTGCGGCCAGATGCTGCCCCAGGGGAGTGAGATTCGGCTGAGCCAGCTCACAGGCCCCAATCTTCCTCAGAAGGTTCATGGCGTTACTGATGACTTGGAGCTGTGGAGGGTCTAATGCTTTAGAAAGGAACTCTTCAGGGGAACCAAGATCACATTTCTGTTACAGCAAATAAAGAACAGGACCCGGTAAGAACAAAACAAGAGATACAAATAGTACACAGTTATGCAGGCCATAGACGGGTCGTTTATCGGCCGAATTTTTGGCTGCACCAAAAATCGCCCGATAACACTGTTCAACAGGTAAAAAGTTTTGGGCATAAAATTAGCTAATCTTACATAATTTTGGGGTGCCTGAAAACGAAAATGACCCTAAAAAATGTTGATTGGCTCCAGTTTCCATGATATATTCACCCATCTAATGACGTAAGCCATTCAAAATTATGATGCAACTTCAGCTGCATATTGCGCAATTGATACTGGTGACCAATAGAAAATTGCATGTATACTGAGATGATGCAATATTAGCCTTTAATTGCATCACTTCACTGCATAAAAGCTGCAGTATCTGTAGCTGATTGTAGTTCGACAGCGTCTTTACATTTCGTTTTATGCTTATATAGGCTACTCAGTAATGCCTCGAACTTGTGTGAATAAAGCAGATAATTTCTGCTATATCTGCGGTGAAATAACTTTTATCTCACAAAAAAGGAGGATAACAGGAATGATTAAGAAAGCCTACAACTTGTATTTTGGCTGCAAGATAGGAGACCAGGACAAGAGCTGGGCACCACATATATGCTGCAATTCTTGTGGGACGGCACTGGAGCAATGGTTGAATGGAAAAAAAGGCATCTATGCCTTTCGCTATGCCAATGATTTGGAGAGAGCCAACAGATCATGTTAGTAATTGTTACTTTTGTATGGTGCCTCCAACAAAAGGGCTAAATAAGAAGAAAAAGTTATCTGTGCACTATCCAAATATTCCATCGGCAATACGTCCAGTTCCTCATGGAGAGGGGCTACCAATTCCTAAAGCACCAGAATCCTTTGTGGTTGAGTCAAGTGAGGAAGAACCTGAAGCGTGTAGTCATCAACCGTCAACCTCACATTACCCAGACTGTCTTCCATCCACACCCACTGAACCACACCTCATTACACAAGTGGAATTGAGCGATCTTATCAGAGACCTGGATCTTCCGAAGAACAAGGCAGAGCTTTTGGGGTCAAGACTACAACAGTGGAATCTCCTAGCAAGTGATGTCCGTCATCGTCAGAAAGATCTGATCCCATTCTTCGTCCAGGAAGGTGATATTGCTGTATGTAACAATGTTCATGGTTTAATCTCAGCCATCGGCGTATGCTATGATCCCGATGAGTGGAGGCTGTTCATTTATGCTTCAAAGGCGAGTCTTAAAGCTGTTTTGCTCCATAATGGCAATCAGCTGCCGTCAGTTCCAGTTGCTTACGCAGTTTCAATGAAAGAAACGTATGAAAACTTGAAAGAGCTTTTAAGTTGCATTAACTATGATGAACATCAATGGCCGATTTGTGGTGACCTGAAGGTGATTGCTATCCTACTTGGACTTCAAGGTGGATATACTAAGTACTGCTGCTTCCTCTGTGAGTGGGACAGTCGTGCGAGAGAAATGCACTATGCCAAAAGAGACTGGCCATTATGCCAGTCATTGCAGCCTGGAGAAAAAAATGTTAACTATCCAGCACTTGTAGACAGCAATAAGATCTTATTACCTCCATTACACATCAAGTTGGGATTAATGAAAAACTTTGTTAAGGCAATGGACAAGAATAAAGCAGGTTTCAAGTACCTGATTAGCAAATTTCCAGCACTTAGTGCTGCAAAAATAAATGAAGGAGTCTTTGTTGGGCCACAGATTCGTAAACTTATTCATGATGATGAGTTTCTTTCTCTGTTGCGTGGAAAGGAAAAGGCTGCCTGGACAGCATTTGTATCAGTGACATCAAATTTTCTTGGAAACAATAAAACACCAGACTACAAGAAAGTGGTAGAAAAACTCATCCAGACTTACAGAAATCTGGGTTGCAACATGTCTCTAAAAATTCATTTTCTACATTCGCATCTGGATTTTTTCCCACCAAACTGTGGAGCAGTGAGTGATGAACACGGAGAGCGCTTCCATCAAGACATTGCAGCTATGGAAAGAAGATATCAAGGTAAATGGAGCCCATCAATGCTTGCTGACTTTTGCTGGACAGTTGTAAGAGATAGCCCTTTCCTCGAATACAAGAGAAAAGCCAAGAGAAGCAAAACCGACACAAACTGAAGACAAAACTAGTGAGAATCCTAAGTATTAAAATGATTCAACTTAGCTTATGGCTATAATTTTTCTTGGTAATCCTATGCAATATATTATGCCATTTAGGCTTTGTTATGTGGTCAATATCACTTGCTTTATATTTGTGGAAAGACATCTATCTATATAATTATTGTGCATTATGTAGTCATTACACCTATAGTAGAAAACTTTCCGTTTACAGAAAAACTAGAGCCAATTGACAAATTTCATTGTTATATTTGAACTCAGAATGTGAAATTCATTAAGAAATGGATCCTTTTGTTTCCAAAACTGGCAAAAATAAAAATTTGTTGAACAGTGTAATCACGCCGTTAGTGAGGCCAGCCCGTCGGCTGTTTTTTGCAGATCTCCTCATTTATTTTAATCGGTCATGCTGGAAAATCCGCAAAAAACAGCCGTTTTTCGTGGACATGGGTGGCAGCATCGGCAACGGGGCAGACCCATTTTTCTTTTATTGGCCTAAAATTCGGCCGATAAACAGCCCGTCTATGGCCTGCCTTACAGTGAACATCTGCAATTTGCATTTACAAGATAAGATAATAATGTGTACAAATGTAAGATAAATCTCACCATAATGTGTAAGCATAGCTCTTCTAATGGCACTCGCAATATTTCGGGAACAGAATATTCCATGAAACTGTGAAACCTGCAAATAAGATACAAAAGTGAGGGGATGAAAACAAGAACTGCACCAAACAGCTAGGATGATCAAACAGAAGAAACACACAAAAAGAGTTCAACATTCAAGAGTACTTTGTGCTATTAATGAGATGTAGCGGAGTTCTGTTCACACTCAACGGTCACTGAACCTGAAAGTTGCTAACACAGAACTTAATGCCCAACTCCAGTCAACTTTTTTGCTCAGGCCAGGTTTTTATTACTATATACGTATACAATTTCCCCTCACGTCCTGTCCTGGTGACAGGGGGTCAAAGTAGCGTGATATAATGTTAAATAATCCCAGTAGGTATAAAAGGATACAGATGGAAATATTTTTGTTGTTCATAAAATGGGATGTGACTTTTAATTAATTTTAATATATGATTTTAAAGAGTTTAAAAAATATCAGTGTTTTTTTTAACAAGAAGTACACGTTTGTCAAATTCATTGATTCATTCAATATAACATATATAACCTCAAAAATGTCCCTTTTTTGTAGCTTTTTTTCCATAAGAGAAAGCTCCTCGTTTTTTCTGTACTGTATATATAGTTGGGATGTGGTGTCACAAGTGATAAGGAGATTTATGTTTATAGTTCGTATGAAAAGATAAACTTTCATAGAGATATCTCCATTGCAAACTAAACAATTATTCCTGCTTATGTACAAGGAGCTGAAATGAATGGCGGATGGCACCACAGCAATGTGGCCAGCACGCCTAGATCTTCTGCTATCTTTTTATTGATGTTCGTTCAGCAGAAGGTGCACTGTTTCAAGACCACTTGGATGTCACTTTGCCGGAGTAAGGGACCCCTGGTGGTACTGAAGTTGCACTTTCTGTATGACATGCGGAACAAACATCAATAAAAAAGATCTAAGGCCCCATGTACACGGGACACTTCTGAACAATGGAAACTGACTGCTGGAAAACGTAGGTTAAAAAACGTTTGTTAGCCGCGTTTCCATACCACGTTTATGCGCGTTTGTGTTTAGAAGCGTTTTTTAAGGATAACCTCAAAAGACCTTCCAAAATGCCCAGAATGCACTGAAAAACAGTAAAAAAATTAACTTTCAGACATTTTCAGAGAGATAGAGAGAGCAGAAGCAGAAAAAGCAGTATTTGTTGAGATTAGCTGTCTTTTTTTTTTTTTTTTTTTTGTGGTGTTTGGATGTGTTCCAGCTCATTTCTGAGCAGAAATTATTGTGGCATTGTCTAACATGTTTTTTTTTTCATGCAAAACCTCAAAGTATGGTGTGCTAAGTCCATTTGAGTACCGGGAAAACTCTTTGCATGTATTTTAGATGATGAAAAAAGGCTCTGGACAGCATCTGCAAATGGAAGAGTTAAAAAATGTTTTAAACGCAAGCGCCTATAAACGAGGTTAGCATTTTGCATTTTACAAGCATTTTGCATTTGAAACGCTGATAAAATCTACTGCTGAACGCAAGTTTTCTGCATTCAAAAAAACTACTGTAAACTCTACTGCCTGTAAACGATGATGTGTACATGGACACATAGGAAAACATTAGGGAGAGTTCAGGGGCTGCTGGAAAAAACACTGAACAGCTCCTAAACATGAGTTTATCAGCTGCAGTGTACATGAGCCCTAACTGCCAAAGATCTAGATGTGCTGACAACATATGCTGATGTCATCCTCTACTTTGATCATTTTCTCACAGGGTTCAGTAAAACCTGCATTTAGTCATGGCTGTAATCTGTTGCCTCAGTGGTGCAAAAGAAAACAGACAGAGTACCAATGTGCACAAATCAATCTCCTACAAAACTGCAGTTTGTCCTGGACATGCCACTTACCTATCTTTTGTATAGAGCCGGAAGCAGAATCCTTCCCTGACACGGCCAGCTCTCCCCTGCCGCTGCAGTGCACTGGCTTTACTTATGAAAGTCTCCACTAAGGAGCTCATCTGGCTGCTCTCATGATACCTGTGAGGCAAAAGAGCAAACATTACAGTGATGGCATGAAGAGCATATGAACAGTAGAGTTGAATATTGTTGGAAAATCAACTGTATTACACCAAACGGCATAGAGACCTCACCTGTTTTCTTTTGTTTTTCCAGCATCTAAGACAAACACCACATCTGGGATTGTGATTCCCGTCTCAGCAATGTTTGTTGCCAGGACAATCTGTAATCAAGAAGAATTTTTACATTTGTAGTATCTGTGGAAAATCTCGGGTCTGCCAAGTAAATGCATGTTATACTTTCATGTGTCACCAAGCAAGCCACAGAAACGATGCAAATCAGAATAAAGGGTCTTTAGAGTCTGGGGAGGAATCTGTGACTGTGACTCCCAATCATTTATTACTTTGTTAACTCTCTTACCTTTCACCGCAACATTAACCACTTCCCGACCGGCCGTTGCATAGAAACGGCCGGAGGGTGGCAGTGCAGGGTCGGGTGGCCATTTATAAACGGCCTCCCCGCACCCTGCTTGTGCGTGCTCCCTGGGAGCGCGCAGAACCGCGATCCGGTGCCCACTGTGTCCTGTACGAGGTCCCGATCATGTGATCACTGATTGGCCAATCAGTGATCACATGCAAAGTAGTAAGCAAGATGTCACTTGTGACATCATTGCTTACTACGTGTGAAATCTGTGTATGTTCACAGAGGTCACATGGTACAAGGCTATTCACAACAGCCTTGTACCATGTGACAAGCTGTGACCAATCACAGCTCACTCAGTACTTCTCAATGAGTGCAAGAATGCAGACAGAAAGAGAAATGATTGCTTTTACATCCTATATGGGTATAAAAGCAATCAGTGTAAAAAATAAAATCTTCATCACCCCCCACAAGTAGTACAGTGTCACCATGGTGACACTGTACTGCTAGGGTGACAGTATGTAAAAAAATAAATAAATAAAATAATAATATAAAAAAATTAAATAAAAATGTAAAAAAAAAGTTTAAAAATTATAATTTTTGGTTATAAACTAATTTGGATTTTGTTTTTTACTAAAAAGATAAACGGAATAAATTTTGGCAAAGATTTATGATGAAATATTATTTATTTGCAAAATTTTATAAAAAAAAACTTTTTTTCAAAATTTTTGTACTTTTTCATTTACATAGCAAAAAAAAAAAAATCCCAGCGGTGAATAAATACCACCAAAATAAAGCTTTATCTGTGTCAAAAAAATGGTCAAAAATTAATTTGGGTACAGTATTGCATGACCGCGCAATTGTCATTCAAAGTGTGATAGCGCTGAAAGCTGAAAATTGCCCTAGTCAGGAAGGGGGTGAAAGTGTCCGGTCTGGAAGTGGTTAAAGAGTGTACCTGTGGTGCCACCTGCTGATGAAATCTTGTACAATCTGAATTTACTATGACCTTTTTCAAATACAGCAGATTTAAAAAGTGTTGTTAGATCCCTTGTGATAGCAGTAAAGGTAAGTAAAAAAAAAACCCAATAGATTAAATAAGCGTTACAAAAGTACATAATAATAAAATAAAAATCGTAAAGAAAAAATTTAAAAGGACCTCTACTGACCCTGTACATACCCCAGTGCAAACACACAGCATAAGGAGTGCACTTGTATTTATATATAAATTGTGCCACGTGTGTGATATTGCTGTGCATATTAAAGTGACAGCGGTAATTAGAGGGCCATAATTCATGCTGAACTCTAAACTGATAAAATAACAAACAGTTTTAAAAAGTTACCTATGGAGAATTTTGGGTATCAAGGTTTTTTGTGGTTTCACAGGCACCCTCAATTTAAGACTTGATATGTTTAGTATTTATTTACTCATATTTTATTTTATTTTTCCCAAAAATTTGGTATGATGTTTATTTGCAAAAAAATTCATTTTAATTTCCTGAAATTATGTGTTTGATAAGCAGCTGTGCAAATATCGTACAACATGAAAAATTGCAACTGCTACTATATTATTCTACAAGGCCCTTGTAGATTTGGGGGTTTAAAGTAATTTATAGCAAAAATACATATTTTAACAGGTGCGTGGAAAAAAAAGATTTTTATATATATATCTATTTATACATCTATACACACACAGCTGGTATAGAAAAGAATCACCTCTCTTTAAAATAATCACATTTTGTTGCTTTGCAGCCTGAAAAGACAGACACAGTTTTTGTTTTCTCCAGCTGTATTTACTCAGTGCAACTTATAACATCCAAGTAAAAGACATAACACTGTGTCAGAAAAAAAAAAAAAAAAAGAATAACTGAGTTGAAAAAAGGATTACCCTCTTGTGTCAGTATTTGGTTGAACCACCTTTTGCTTTAATTCCAGTCTCTAGTCTGTTGGGATATGTCGCTACTAACTTTGCACATCTGGACTTTTCAATATTTGCCCGCTCTTCTTTGCAGAACTGCTAAATTTCAGTTACCCTGTTGGCGCTGACTGTACGCAAATACAGTTGCAAGAAAAAGTATGTGAACCCCTTGGGATTACGTGGAGTTTTGCATGAATTGGGCATAAAATGTGCTCTGAACGTCATCTAAGTCAAAACAATAAAAGAACACAGTCTGCTGAACATAATACTACACAAACATTAGATGTTGCCATGGTTTAATTGCACATATGTAAACATTCACAGTGCAGGGAGGAAAAAGTATGTGAACCTTTGGACTTAATAACTGGTTGACCCTTCTTTGGCAGCAATAACCTCAACCAAACGTTTCCTGTAGTTGCAGATCAGACCTGCACAACGATCTGGAGTCATTTTGGACCACTCCTCTTCACAAAACTGTTTCAGTGTAGCAATATTCTTGGGATGTCTGGTGTGAATCGCTCTTTTAAGGTCATGCCACAGCATTTCAATCGGGTTGAGGTCAGGACTCTGACTGGGCCACTCCAGAAGGCGTATTCTGTGCTGTTGCAGCCATTGTTTTGTTGAATTACTTGTATTCTTTGGGTCATTGTCCTGTTGCATCACCCATCCTCTGCGGAGCTTCAGTTGGCGGACAGATGGTCGTACGTTTTCCTGCAAAATGTCTTGATAAACTCTGGAATTAATTTTCCCATCAATGACAACAATCCGTCCAGGCCCTGAGGCAGCAAAGCAGCCCCAAACCATGATGCTCCCTCCGCCATGTTTTACAGTGGGGATGAGGTTTTGATGTTGGTGTGCTGTGCCTTTTTTTCTCCACACATAGTGTTGTGTGTTCTTCCCAAACAACTCAATCTTGGTTTCATCTGTCCACAGTATATTTTGCCAGTAGTGCTGTGGAACATCCAGGTGCTCTTTTGCAAACTTCAAACGTGCTGCAATATTCTTTTTGGACAGCAATGGCTTCCTCCGTGGTGTCCTCCCATGTACTCCATTCTTGTTTAATGTTTTCCTTATTGTAGATGTGTCAACAAAAATGTTAGCATGTGCCAGAGATTTCTGTAGGTCTTTAGCTGACACTCTGGGATTCTTCTTTACCTCATGCAGCATTCTGCGCTGTGCTCTTGCAGTCATTTTTACAGGACGACCACGCCTAGGGAGAGTAGCAACAGTGCTAAACTTTCTCCATTTGTAGACAGTCTGTCTTACCATGGACACATGAACATCAAGGCTTTTGGAGATACTTTTGTAACCCTTTCCAGCTTCATGCAAGTCAACAATTCTTGATCGTAGGTCTTCTGAGAGCTCTTTTCTGCGAGGCATGGTTCACATCAGACAGTGCTTCTTGAAACCAGTAAACCCAAAACAGGTGTGTGTTTTTTAAGGGCAGGACAGCTGTCAGCAACACATCCAAAATCATCACACTGATTGGAGTCAATGTTGGCTCACTCCTGGCTCCAATTAGCTCTGGGAGAAGTCATTAAGCTAGGGCCTCACATACTTTTTCCTCCCTGCACTGTGAATGTTTACATGTTATGTGCAATTAAACCATGGCAACATTTAATGTTTTGTGTAGTATTATGTTCAACAGACTGCGTACTTCTATTGTTGTGACTTAGATGACGTTCAGAGCACATTTTATGCCCAATTCATGCAAAACTCCACATAATCCCAAGGGGTTCACATACTTTTTCTTGCAACTGTATGTGTCCTCTTGGCGGATGGGCTTTGATGCCAAGAGGCCGCATATTTGCGTACCAAAAAAAACCCACACGTGTCGAAAGTGTGCTCCCGGCACATTTACTGGCGCCTCACAGAAAGGTCCGATTTGCTACTTGGGATTGGGACCTTTCTGATCATGTGACCGTTCTCACTAGAACGCAGTGTGGGAAACCCGAAATCCATGTGTGTTGTCCGCACCGCATTCAAAATACACTGCCCTTGCGATCTGCAGTGGGTGTCAGTGCAATCCCAATGACACCCCAAATGTAGTATTTGCCTGCTTTGGATTGCATGGCACAAAACAATGCGGTGTGAATAAATGAGCTCAAATTGCATCACACTGAATCACATCTGAATTGAAAAGGAGTGCAGTGCGGTTTCTGTGTGATTCATATGTGGTTCATAGTGTGAATCAAGGCTAAATGATAATTACAGAACCTTTTTAGCTGCTCAGCAGCAAGACAATATAAATAAATATATATTAGAAACCCTTTTACAATGATCTCATATCAAATATCTTACACATGATACAGTTATGTTTCAGCCCCACCTTTCTGGTTCCAGCTGGTGGCAGTATAAAGGCTTCAGCCTGATCCTGACTGGAGAGAATGGAATGAAGGGCAATCAGCTTGTACCTGAAACAAGCAACAGCAAAGTGTGACTCTCTGTAATGGAAACAGTTAGCTGAAGTTTCCTTGTATTAGACAAGCCTGTGTTCCATAAGGCAGATCTAGCATCAGGGACTTAACACTTACGCTAAAGTACACCATACACTAGTGGAATTTTCTATTAAAAAAATGTGTTTGATTTTCTACTTGGTGGGGGCAAAACAATGTTAGTTTTCTATCACAGTGATGAGAAAATTCTAAGGAGCAGGATGGAAAATGTTTCTTGAATGGTGAATATGATTTTCATTGTAGTCAACAACCTTCCCCTTCCCCCCGACTGCAAAGATGCACTCCGCTGCTCTGTGACACACAGCCAGCACAGAGAAGCAGGACATGAAGGTAACCTTCTCACCCACTTAGATTTGAGGGGCAGTTAATCCCATCGTGCAAATACATGCATTACATAACGCCTGCAATGAATCATGGGACATGTAGTTCCATCATTGGACGTGGGGGAGAGAGATTGTGTGCACTCTCCTCAATTAGAAATTCAAGAAAGTACTGTATTTTTCGTTCCATAAGATGCACTTTTCCCCCCCCAAAAAAGGGGGGAAAATGTCAGTGCGTCTTATGGAGCGAATATAAAGCGGTCGGTCAGGTATTCCCGCCGCCACCATGTCAAAATACCGGGCTGGCCGCTCAGCTGTTCTCTGCGGCAGGAACTCACCTGTTCCTCAGTCCGGCACTGTAGTCTTCCCGCCCCGGCATCTGTGACAGCCGGGTGCCCACTGCGCATGCATGAGAAGCGCTGCGCTTTGTGAATGGTCCGGCGTCTTCTGGGACACATGACAGGTCCCAAAAGACGCCGGGCCATTCACAAAGCGCAGCGCTTCTCGCGCATGCGCAGTGGGCACCCGGCTGTCAAAGTCGGGTGCCCACAGTATAATAATGAGAGCTCCGCAGAAGTGGGAGCGGGTACCTGTCAAATTCAGGTACCCCCTCCCTTCCTAAAGGTTCGTAGTGTCTGGTCATTTCCTGTACTGTCCGCAGCCTCTGTTCATCCCCTATACTGTCCGCAGTCTCTGGTCATCCCCTGTACTGTCCCAAGTATCTGGTCATGCCCTGTACTGTCCGCAGTCTCTGGTCATCCCCTGTACTGTCACAAGTGTCTGGTCATGCCCTGTACTGTCCGCAGTCTCTGGTCATCCCCTGTACTGTCCGCAGTCTCTGGTCATCTCCTGTACTATGTCCGCAGTCTCTGGTCGTCTCCTGTACTGTCCGCAGTCTCTGGTCATCCCCTGTACTGTGTCCGCAGTCTCTGGTCATCTCCTGTACTATGTCCGCAGGCTCTGGTCATCCCCTGTACTGTGTCCGCAGTCTCTGGTCATCTCCTGTGCTGTGTCCGCAGTCTCTGGTCATCTCCTGTACTGTGTCCGCAGTCTCTGGTCATCTCCTGTACTGTGTCCGCAGGCTCTGGTCATCCCCTGTACTGTGTCCGCAGTCTCTGGTCATCCCCTGTACTATGTCTGCATTCTCTGGTCATCCCCTGTACTGTGTCCGCAGTCTCTGGTCATCTCCTGTACTATGTCCGCAGTCTCTGGTCATCTCCTGTACTGTGTCCGCAGTCTCTGGTCATCTCCTGTACTATGTCTGCAGTCTCTGGTCATCCCATGTACTATGTCTGCTGTCTCTGGTCATCCCCTGTACTATGTCTGCTGTCTCTGTTCATCTCCTGTACTATGTCTGCAGTCTCTGGTCCTTCTCCTGTACTGTGTCCGCAGTCTTTGGTCATCTCTTGTACTGTCTGCAGTCTCTGGTCATTCCCTGTACTGTGTCCGCAGTGTGTGGTCACTTCCTTTACTATGTCTGCAGTCCATTGGTTCAGAATATTTTTTTTCTTGTTTTTCTCCTCTAAAACCTAGGCGCGTCTTATGTAGCGAAAAATACGGTAATTATTGACAATATTACCAACATTCAAATACATAGCTCATTATTTTTCTAGAGGTTTTAATACTACTTTAATCAGGAGCTTATGCAGTTCAGATGAGAATAGATTTTTTTTGCCCGTTGAAACCAGTCTGTCCATATATTTATGTGCAAGTCACATTCCTGCTAGTCATTACCTCCTCCGGTCATTGAATCGCTTGTCCACAGACAAAAGGTCATAAAGCTGTTGTATATCAGCCAGGCCAGGTAAGAAGATTAGCACAGCTCCTTCTACATTCCTGAACTGAGGACTTCTGTCTGGTGAGGAGAAGAAATAAAGACCAAAGAAAAGAAGTTAAATCTGCAGATTTGTTCAGCAGGAAAAAACAGCACAAAGTTCAATGAACCATTGCCCCTGCAACAGGCTAGAGATGTTGATTCGAAGGATAAGATTTTGGAACGAACCTTTGCACTTTGTACTATTTTTTTTTTTTTCAATTTGTGATTGAAAAGATGTACAGATTTTGATACAAAAAGTCCTGCTTATGCTGAAAAAAATCCTGGTATTATTTTGATGTCACAAAAAAAAAAGAGTGAAATAAAAATCAGCACAATGCACAACACCTGGAAACAACTTTGGACTTTAAGACTTCATGCACACCAATGTTTTTTTAAGCTCCTAAAAGCTGTAATTAGCATTTTTTTCTGCTCCTAGAAACTAAATAGTGTTACCCTATGTGTCCATGCACACTATTTTAGGCTATTAGCATTTTTTTAGCTTCAGCATCTAGGAGCAGAGAAAAAATTATTTTTGTAGAGTTTTTTTTGGAGCGTTTTTTCAGCAGAAAAAACTAAACGCTTTACACTACTTAATGCTGCTAAATGCTACTAAAAAGGCTCCTAACAGCTTTTTTCTATCTTTTTTTTTCCTTTTCCTCTACATGTACTGTAAAAGCACTAATAAAAAGCTAACGCTCCTAAAACTCTACAGAAAACGCTATTACCGTTGTTTTTTATCCAGCGTATTTTGAGCTTAAAAGAAACGCTAGTGTGCATGGAGCCTTAAGCTGATCTTCAGTTAGAACTTGAAAACTACTATTTAGTTGACACCACCCTCCCCCCTGCACAGTGACTGTAGACTGCTATATTAGTCAATGGGAAGGGAATAAGAAAAAAAATGTATCTCATTCCTTGGTCCCCCAGTAGCTGGCACACACCTCCACTTTCCTCCATAGGTCCTCTATTTCCTCACATATGATGCAGGACCGCAAAGTGCCCTGCGTTGTGGTCCTGCAATGTACAAAATGCTGTGGAGAAGAGAAGCCAAGACTGGATAACTGGAGAATAGGAGTGGCATCGTGGGAATGGTCAAATCACCAGAAGCCTGTGGGAGTGAGAGGTAGGGTATTTCCACCTTATACCTTACCCCCAAACCAGGGTTGCTCAATCAGAGGCACGTTGGCCACATGTGGCCCTCAGCCTCAAACTGAATGCAGGAGTTTTAGTGCGCCTTCATAAATTGCACCACACCTGCAAAATATAACAGAAGTCTGTGGCAAAAAGCAGCTGACGCACAGGAAAGCCACAGGGGCACTGAGCTGCATCCACTGTGTGGGTAAAATGCAGCACATCAGTGTGAAAGTAGAGTTTTAGGGAACTCAGTACATTAAGAGCTCATTTACATTTGCAGGGCGGGTGGTTTTTACCACAACCCCCACCACTGGTGTAGTGCCAAGGGGTGACCCTGCTCCATGCTCCAGGGGGCTCGTGCAGCCTCCTTGTCACGTTCTGTTTTGCAGGACACTTGGAAAGGAGGGCTGCACATACAGGTGTTCAAAATAATAGCAGTGTGTTGAAAAAAGTGAATAAAGCTCAAAATCCTTCTAATAGCTGTTATTTCCATGCACACAAATGCATTGGGAACACTACACATTCTATTCCAAATCAAAACATGAAGAAAAATAGATCAAATTTGTGTTGTTCCTCTAAAAAAAAAATTGAAGAAAAGTGAATATTAGACTGTTCAAAAAAATAGCAGTGTTTGTATTCTTCTTTACAAACTCAAACATTCACTATATAAACTGAAAAATGTTTGAAGATTTTGCTTTCCTTTGAATCACTTAATGAATATTTACTTGTATAAGCGCTGTTTCTGAGAACTGCTGTACATCTGTGTTGCATGGAGTCAACCAACTTCTGCCACCTGCGAACAGGTATTCCAGCCCAGGATGATCGGACTACATTCCACAGTTCTCCTCTATTTCTTGGTTTTGCCTCAGAAACTGCATTTTTGATGTCACCCCACAAGTTTTCTATTGGATTAAGATCCGGGGATTGGGCTGGCCACTCCATAACGTCAATCTTGTTGGTCTGGAACCAAGATGTTGCACGTTTACTGGTGTGTTTGGGGTCGTTGTCTTGTTGGAAGGCCCATTTCAAGGGCATTTCCTCTTCAGCATAAGGCAGCCTGACCTCTTCAAGTATTCTGATGTATTCAAACGGATCCATGATCCCTGGTATGCGATAAACGGGCCCAACACCGTACTATGAGAAACATCCCCATATCACGATGCTTGCGCAACCATGCTTCACTGTCTTCACAGTGTACTGTGGCTTGAGTTCAGTGTTTGGGGGTCGTCTGACAAACTGTCTCCGGCCACTGGAGCCAAAAAGAACAACCTTACTTTCATCAGTCCACAAAATGTTGCACCATTTCTCTTTAGGCCAGTCAATGTGCTCTTTGGCAAATTGTAACCTCTTCAGCACATGTTTTTTTTTCAACAGTGGGACTTTGCGGTGGGCTTCTTGCAGATAGCTTGGCTTCACACGGGCGTCTTCTAATTGTAACAGTACTCACAGGTAGCTTTAGACCTTCTTTGATCTTCCTGGAGCTGATTGTTGGCTGAGTCCTTGCCATTTTGGCTATTCTTCTATCCATTCGAATGGTAGTTTTTCGCTTTCTTCCACGTCTTTCAGGTTTTGGTTGCCATATTAAAGCATTTGCAATCATTTTAGCTGAGCAGCCTATCATTTTCTGCACTTCTTTATATGTTTTCCCCTCTCCAATCAACATTTTAATCAAGGTACGCTGTTCTTCTGAACAATGTCTGGAACGACCCATTTTCCTCAGAATTTCAGAGAGAAATGCGTTGTAACCAGCATGTACAACATTTGCTGCCTTCCTTCCTTAAATAAGGGCAATAACTGCCAATTGTTTTTCAAAGAATGAATGACCTCACTAACAGAACTCCACACTGCTATTATTTTGAACATGCCCCTTTCAATTAGTGATTCAATTACACAGAATCAGCAGCATGCATGTCATGACTGTTGGGTTTGTTGGATTTCTATTACTCTACAACACCTGCTAGTAAATTATTTGCCATGTAGAAATATCATTTCTATTAAAAACAGTGATTGATCAGGTTAGTGATGTCTGACTGCTATTATTTTGAACACAACTGTACCATTCCTCTCCATTTTTCTCCTGCAACCATTGAAAACTGGCTTCTCTTCCTCTCCTTCCACCAGGATTCAGCAACTGCAGTAGGAAAACGTTCATTATGCTATTCAAAACAAAAAAAAATTGATATTCTGAACCATTTCATTTCATTGTGGCCCACTACCTTTTACCAAATCACTAAAATGGCCCTCACTCGTCAAGAGGTTGAGCACCCCTGCCCTAAACTAAACAAAACAGTTAACCTCTGCTGTGCATGGTGATGAGGGGGGGGCTAAATTTTGAATGCTATCTGGAGTCACTGACTTGAAATAAGCACGCAGCTAGTGAAGTCAAGGCAAAAACAGACCTCCTGCAAACTTCTTCCAGGTCAAACACTGGCCAGGAAATTACTTCTTTTAAAAGCAGTTCAACGATTTGCAGCTGATGTATATTCTAGACTCTACAGGATTCCTTTAATAGGGGAAAATATCATAAAGGTTGTGTAACAGTGCTCTGCAGTATACAGTTTCTCAAAAAAAGGAAAAAGATTTTGTTAATTTATGTGAGATAAAACAAAGTAGTAACATACCCAAAAAGACCAGCAATTCCAGAATCAGGTCCAGGTTTATTTTGTTGGGGTTCATATACAACACAGCATGACGGGTGCGGGCGCTATACTTCTGATAACTGGGGTTTCCTTCCATCCCAGAACCTGACTGCACAGGAATGAACTCCTGAAACATGAATTACATGATCATATAAGTAGATCAAATCATCTTTTTCTATTTCCCTAAAGTTCACACCTTTAATTAACCAGTATAGTTTTGTATTGTGTAAAAAAAATGGAACGCAAACGGAAAAACCACAAAAATGAATAAAATAACCAATAGGGCCATACCAATAAAACAGAGGTAGGATCCCTAACGGGAAATAAGCCCAGTAATTCAGTGCTGTCAACTGTAAGATGATACCCTTAGTGAAAACATCCGGAGGTATATTTTTGCGGTTTACCAATGTAATGACGCTTGACCCCACCTCTTCTGATGCTCAGGCCTATTTACTGAAAACTTATTGTGATGGTCAGTCTTACTGACCAATAAAGGGGTAGGATGTTCATTGGCACTGCTGGAGAGTGGGGGTGCTGGAGTATCAACTGAGCCTGCAAAAAGGCAGTTCTGACCACATTTCGGTCACAGAATTAAGCTGACCAAGCTGATCAATTTTTTTTGCTCAGTCAGGGGTCTGGAAAAAACAAAAAATGGTTTCCTTCATCTACACAAATGAGGTGGATAGAGGAATCCCCTCCATAATGCCCCAATGTTTTGCCTTGACTTAAATTTTCAATTTCTATATGGATCTGTTTACTCCAGGAATGCAGTATAGCCCAATAACAGTGAATAAAGTACAGGTGTACCTCGGTTTACGAACGCCTCGGTTAACGTAATTTTCAGTTTACGAATGAAAATCCACGAAAACAATGCCTCAGTTTACAAATTTTTTACAAATTTTTTTCACAATACAAAGTGTATGTTGATGCCGATTTTTAAATGCAATTGCCAGCTTTTTTCTTTTCTTCACTATAGCTCACAGAATTAGCTGTCACTTTCCCCAGAGCTAAAGGATACTTTGTTTCTTTTATCATGGGAAACAAACTAGCTGGGGGGAAAGTGACAGCTGATTCTCTGAGCTATAGTAAAAAAACAAAAAAAACAGTAATTACATTTAAAAACCAGCACTTACCTATAGCGACATGAACTCCGGAACTGATTAATTGGTTTTCAATGCATTCCTATGGGAAACCGCGTTTTGGTTTACGAATTTTTCGCAATACGAAAAGTCCCAGAGAACGCATTAAATTTGTAAACCGAGGTACACCTGTATTATGTATATAATTACTGTTCTCAGGAATGTGATGGTGTTACAAGATGATCTGGCGCTAGCAATTATTTCATACGTAAAGCCCTGAGGCAGCTGCAGCTCTGCATATTACCTGATATTTCTTGCTGCCTCCTCCTTTACTTGTGACAGTAAGAGTAATTTCCTCTTCATCCTCAAGGAATTTCTGGCAATACTCAGAGTCCTGCTCTAGTATAAATCCTGTTTCTTCAATGGTATCTTCCAGATGGAACACCTGAACAGAAATGAAATTAGCTCAATGTAACAGTTCACAAAATATCCATTATGCTATGAGATTAACCAACTGATGATCACCGTCTGTAAAGTTAACATTCTCACACACAGTCCCCCATGCTGAAAAAAAGTCACTGAAAGCTTCACCTGTGAACTAGCATGGCAGGCCGCTAAGTGATTGGGAACTAGTAAGTATAGCTCCAGATCATGTGATCACTGTGACAGCCAATCATGTTAATTACAGGCAGAGTGAAGGTTTGCTTACACTTTTTTCAGTCTACACTCCCAATTCCCAACCCCACCTGCATCTCTTGCCCCTCTATCTCCCCCACCTCATTCTTTTCCATCCTGCAGTTTAAAATAGAAAGCATAAGTAAAGTATTTATTAAAATGTAAAAATGATTTAGATAAACAAATTAGCCAAATTGTTATTTTCAAGTTAAAAGACACTGAAAAATGTGTCTTAGTTTTCATGACTGACGGTCAGCTAGAAGACAAGGTCTGCCATGTACATACAGTAGTACAACTGTCAAGTGAAAACTTCCCACAGCTTCAGTAGACAGCTTATCTGGAAGCAATGAGCAGCAAGGTGATGCCACCACATAACAATTCTATTTAAGGCCCCATTCACAAAGGCGTATTATAGCATACACCCATGAAAGGGCCATATTTGCCCAAACAGGAATGTACAGGTGTTCCGTGCACCCCCGTGCAGGCAGTGCCATTCATATCAATTGGAACAAAGATGCTGCTCTCAATTGGACAACTGTGTGATTGCGGGTGCACAGCCCCCAAAGCAGACAGGAAAACCTGTGCATCCCCATGCAGGCAAGCTCACACGCTAGTAGTACACCTGTGTGAACAAGGCCTTACTGATGAGATCTGTGTGAATGTCTGTAGTTATTCCTCACAGGTGTTTTACTATAATTGACTCACCTCAACAGGGTAGGTCCTCCCTGAAATCCTGATGATGGGACAGTGTGAGAAGTAGCTAGAAAACTTGTCACTGTCAACAGTGGCACTCATAAGAATGAGGTGTAAGTCTGAGCGCTTGTGAAGGATCTCCCGCAGAATGATCAGCAGGAAGTCTGACTGCACCGTCCTCTCATGTACCTGTATATGGACAGACATGCGTTAGGAATTGTTTTTCATTAACATGACCTTCTCAGGAGTAACGTCTATAGAGATTAAGCAAGAAGGCGAAGGGAAAAAGTTTAAAGATGGAATGAAAACAGAAGGTACTAAACAGGTAGGCTTTGTCTCCTGGCTCAGAAAAAAAGTTTTCATGTCTGACAAAAAAAAGTCACTTACTGATATTTTATCACAATAGTTTATAGGGCAATGTCACTCCCAGTCTGTGCCAATCACAATTTTTATTATTTCAGCTACTGTGGGTGACAAAATCATCACAACAGAAATGATGTTCCCAGCAAAGCAGACCTAAAGTGATATCACAACTTTCTTTCGAAGTTCTAAACTTCCACACTTGACTAGAAAATACTTTATATTTATTGTCCTCTGTTCCGACTGGATTGATTTCTTTTCATTTTCTGTCTCCAAGACAACTAAAGCTACGCAGTTAGTGAGAGAAATCCTCCGCAGGACAGCAATTAGAACTTAAATATAACTTCTTATAAATGCCAATAATCCAAAATCAAAGATAAAAACGTACGCATTTTATTAGTATACCAATAAGCCCCTTACAAAACATCACAGACAATGCAAAATAAATAAAAGCTGTTCATCAGCCTGGTGGTTCCAGTTTTGATACCGTGTAACCTCCAACCTGGAGGGAGGGGGACAAACAGTCCATCAGCAAGATAGGAAGAGTCTCTGATGATATTGTTGACCATCTTTCTACATCTGCTGCTGTAAATATTACTAATGGTGGGCAGATTGCTGCCAATAATCCTCTGGGCAGTCTTTACCTCCCAATGCAGTGCCTGGTAATCTGCAGCAGAGCAATCATTGTACCAAACGGTAATGTAAGCAATAAGGATGCTCTCCACTACACACCTATAAAATGAGATGAGGACTGAAATACTAAGGTCAGCACACTTCAGTCTCCCCAAAAAGTAAAGTAATATGCCTTTTTCACTAGGCTACCAGTGTTGGTGCTCCAGGCAAGGTTATCACGTGTGCAACCACATGTCCCCTGTCTTTAAAGCCATCTCAACAGCTTCATCCTTGTAGTGCTGGTCATCCTGAAGTCCACAATCATCTCCTTTGTCTTCTTTATGTTAATGGAGAAAATATAAACTTTGCACCAGATGCCCAGATTCTACACTGGCTGCCTGTACATTGACTCATCACAATGAACGAGGAGTCCCACTACTTACGTATTATTTCCTAACTTCAAAATATGATTGCCCAAATACATAACTGAGCAACCGTAGATCAGCAGAATGTACGGTAGGGGGCTCAAGATGCATCCCTGAGGGAAATTGGCACTAAGATGGAAGAGGAATATGAGACATTGTGAATTCTAACAGACCGGGCCTATTTGTTAAAAAGTCCAATATCCAGTTGCACAAAACTGAGTTCATTGCAAGTAGTTTATCAATCAGGGTTTGTGGAATAATAGTTTTGAAGGCAGAATCAAAATCCAAAAAAATAAAAGTCTATCATAAGAATCCTAAGGCTTCATGTACACGAGCAGCTTCTAAACTCGAGTTTAGGAGCTTTCGGCATTTTTTTGCCAAAGCTCCTAAACTCAACTCCATAAGAGCCTGTGTGTCCATGTACACACATAGGCTTTTGGCAGAGTTTAGGAACTGCTGAGGCTAGGTTAGGTTAAACCTCCCTCTCCTGAACATGAAAGAATCGCGTTCAGAATAGGAACGTTTTGACCTCCGACCATGCAAAACGCGGTACCCACGTTTTTGCTGAGATTTGCGTTTTCCCATGGCCGGTGGTCAGGGTAAGCTCATGTACAAGAAGCCGATGAATGTAAGTTTAGGAGCTTTTGGTATTTTTTTTGCCAAAGCTCCTAAACTCAACTCCATAAAAGCCTGTGTCCATGTACACATAGGCTTTTAGCAGGTGCCGTGGTTAGGTGAGGTTTAACCTCCCTCTCTTGAATGTAGAAGAAATAGCGTTCAGGATAGGAACATTTTGACCTCCAACTGCGGCAAAACTGCAGTGATTTGCATTTTCCCATGGCCGGCAGTCAGGGTAGGCATGTGTACATGGAGCCTTATTCTGCAAGTAAGAGCTGGTTGAACTACTGTACTGATGAGATAGCATCTGCAGTGGGTTTTGTCTGTATGTATACTGGGTCTTCTCTGAAGCTGATGGTCTTCTTAATATGGGCCATGACCAGCCTTTTGAACACCGTTATAATTATTGTTAGTGCTACTGGTTCCCAGTCATTCAGACATAACAGTGTTTTTTTTATCATTCAGTACTGCACTACTTTAATTTAACTGGCAAATGCGCAGTCATGCAACACTGTACCCAAAAGAAATTATCTTTTTTTCACACAAATGGAGCTTTCTTTTGGTGGTATTTGATCACCACTGTTTGTTTTTTTTTTTTTTTTTTTTGCTATATAAACGAAAAAATACCTAACATTAAAAAAAACAAACAAACATGTTTTTCCTAGTTTCTGTTATAAAATTTTGCAAATAAATAATCTTCATAAATTTAGGCCAAAATGTATTCTGCTACATTTTTTTGGTAAAAATAATCTACATCAGTGTATAATATTAGTCTGTGTGAAGGTTATAGAGTCTACAACCTATGGTATATATACAGTATTTGAAAACTGATCAATCCTGATGTAGTGACGGCCTATTTCATTTCTCAAGACCCTAAACTGCCAGAACAGTTCAAGGTATTTAGTAAGAGGCAAGGCGAGTTTTTAGAAGTTGTAATTTTTTGTCACAATTTGCAAAAATGAAGAAATTAAATTTGTTTTTATACACTATTTTTTTAATATACTGTCACATGTGCAGTACAGCATCATCATATGACTGGTGTGGCAGTGATCAGGGATACTGACTGATGACAGCATGTTAAAAAAAAAACCAAAAAACAAGGTAAACTTATTTTTAAATTTTCAAACATAATTTATTTACTATTTTTTTTTCTTAATCAGAGTATTTGGTTTGTTTTTACACTGTGTTTGCTGTTACAATGATTATCATTGTAACAGAAATCATTTAAACTGTCATGAATGGATTCCATTCATACCAGCTGTGTTTTTGTTGACATGCTGTGATTGGCTACAGCCAATAACATGGTACAGGTTGCTGTGCTTGGCACAGGTACCATGTGATAACTGTGGGTTAATCACAGTATCACTATAGGAAGCAGAGCTGTTATGAATTAAATTCTTTCATAACAGCTTTGTTGACATCGGGATCATGTGATCACATAGCGATCACATGATCCCCCCGCTGCTCAATGCCGCCGAGTACCAGGAACCATAATCCAGGAGTGGCACACTGTGCACCTCAGCATGCATGTGCCAGGCAATTTATCTTTACAATGCTGAGCCTGGCTGTGCCACCCGCTCACTGTAAAAGTACTGTGGTTAGACAGGCAAGTGAGTAAAGATGTCAGTCAACACCTTGGAAAACTGGTGTACACAGTTCCTATGGATAACTGTGCAGACTGAAGATAAGACAGGAGATCTACTTTAAAAATGCTGCTACTACTTGAAGAAAAAAAAAAAAAAAGACTGTCAGAGATTCTACCACTTCCTTACCAAAAAAAAAATGTTTGGATAGATTCCCCCTTTAACATCTTGCTCTTTGTTTTCTGAATTCATGATTAAAAATAGACTTCTCCCACTCTTCACAATTTTCTGAATAAAACTAAAAAAAAAAAAATCAGTGAGGGTGATTGTTTTTTTTTCCCCCACCTTAGGGTGCTTTTACTTACTTTGTTAGTAAACAGATGTCTATCAATCTAGCTGATATGCACAGTAGATCTCCCTCTCTACTCACCTCATCCACAATGACATGTGTTATGTTCTTCAATAAACTATCTTCCTGTAACTTGCGTAGTAAGATTCCAGTGGTACAGTACAGCAGCTTGGTGTACTCCCCTGTCCTAGACTCCATCCGGATCTGATACCCACACAGGGAATTCTGAGAGCAAGAACAGACACATTCAGACATTTTTTGAAGGGTTATAACAGTTTCAACAAAATGTGAACCATAATATCAACATGTACATTGGTTTTTGGCATTAGGGCTTTTAGTGCTGAAAATAAATGTAAACGTGTGTGATCAGGCCCTTATTAAAAAGTATCCTAACACTTAATATGGTCATAACAGTTCCCCCTACACCAACGTACAACCATAACACCTAACCTAGCCCAACCATATAATATCAACTACAGAGGTGTGGAAATGTTTGAAAAAAATACTTTCCAGGGACTAAATCGGGGCACCAATCTACTTGTCCCTCATGGCAATCTACTTGTCCAAATACATTTTTTTTTCTTTTTTTTAACAAAAAACATATTTAAATCGGAGGTGATTTTAAGAATATTTAAAAACAAAAAGGGGTTTTATGGTGACTTAAACTTGTAATATTTTTAGCATTGTGCCAGCACCAAACCCGGGGAATAGCAGGGAGGGGGGAGACCTTGCAGAGTGATGAACGACTGATTGCTCATCAGGAAAGGGGGGGGGGGTCAGGGCTTATACTTTATCCCTTTCACTGCCAGAGCAGTTTTTGCATTTTTTGCACAAGTTTAAAAAATCATTTTAGGCTTGAAGATTACATAAAACCTCCAAACGTGATATGTTTTCGGAAAGCACAGAACCTAGAGAATAAAATAGTGGTAGTTGCAATTTTTTATGTCGCATGATTTTACCGCAAAATGTTTGTAAAAAATACAAGTAAGTTAATTTTAGAGCACAAAAAAGCAATAAATTACCCTATTTTTTGTAAACTATAAAAGATGAGGTTGCAAAGAATAAATAGATATCCAACTTGTCAAACCTTAAATTTGTGCGCACTCGTGAAATGGCGACGAACTTCAGTACCCTATATTTTCTATAGGTCGACACATTTAAAGCTCCTTATAGGTCATCAGTTTAGTGTTACAGAGGAGGTCTGGTGCTAGAATTATTGCTCTCATTCTGGCGTGTGCTGTGATATATGACATGTGTATTGCAATGTGGTGGAGGGGGCCTCAATATTTTTTTTTGAGGAGGATGGTATGTGCTTGGGTGTAACTTTAATTTTTTACAATACAAAAAAAAAATCCCCTATGTGATGATTTTTGGTGACAGGTACTCTTTGAGACATCCAAGGTCTAAAAGACCCTGCATGTCTCCCCTCTGCTCCACTGAATGTAATGTGGTGCACATCGCACTATATTACATTCTTTCCTGGGGATTGCATTACAATCTTTCAACGGGGACCGGAAGTGGCCGCCGCTTGACTTGTCCGCTCTTCTCCCTCCTCTCTAGCTGACGGCAAGCTGGGCCCACAGATGGGCAAGCAGAGCCTGGGAAACCTCACGCAGGGGGGGGGGGTTCCGCGGAGAGGCTGGCACTGTGTGGAAGCAATCACAGGAATCGCTGCCACCGAATGCTTCTACGTAACATGTGAGCCCGCTGCTTGCACACAGCAGGGCTAAAGGAAGAAAAAAACAACCTTCCCAGAACCTGGAACTACATGCCCAGGCGTCGGGCGATAGGAATCCAACATCCCTGCAACTATTATCCCCCCACCCTGGAAATTAATCCTTGAAACTTTGACCCTAGCACCTTAAAGTAGAACTATAGGCAAATTTTTTTTTTCCATTTTGGATGGAGCAAGGAAGGGTTATAACCCGTCAGATTTTTTTTCGCCATCTGTGTATCATTGCAAAGGTTTCCCTTCACTTCCTGACCCATAGCCAAACAGGAAGTGAGATAAAAATCTCTGTTAAGTGCAGCAAAAACTCAGGAAAGCTGTAGGTACTCTGCACTGCACTCGCAGTATGGCCAAATCAGCACATCAGTGTGAAAGCAGCCTTATACTATTATGCCCAGTGTATTGCTTCACACTGACCTGAAGAGCTCCATTTTCCTTCTGCTGGCACCACTCCGCATGGGACAGGAGCCAGTACTACAGAAGAGGCATCGGCTTATGCGGCTCCTGCTCCCTACTACAACTCCAACTGTACAAGTAGTCACTCTGCATTGCCCTCTGTTTGATGCTCTGGGATGGTGGGTCAACGAGGCCAGACCGTGATCTGCAAGTCACTTGACCGAAACCTACGGGTTGCTGACTCCGGCTCTATAGTATATGTACTTTTATAATATACACATTTGACAGCCAGCATTATCCACATATGTAGAACGATGGATTATACACATTGAGGTTAAATAAATATTCACTGATTAGTTATGAAGTTTAAAGTATACATTAAGGAAAACCCATCAACCATTTTATGCTTTTAACAGATTTTTTCTTAAGACGTCATTTGTTGGTACCTCTGCAATCCCTTATTTATTTGCTTTATTACCATCCGTGTCACCAAAAGGTTAGGAGGTTCTAACTTTGCCGATTTGAATAGTTGCTCCAGGCCAGTGACTCACAATGTACTAGAATAGAAACAGCCATGGAAACAGCATTTTGGCCTATCAGTATAGGCACCTGGATAATATAGTGGCTAGAGGCATGTAGGCCTGGGAACTTAATCGCAAAGATCTCACTACTGTAATCCATGAGATATAGAAAACTGTAAAGTAGTTAAAATACCTAGAATAGACAACAGACTAAAGTTACTGGTTTTGGATGGACCAAACCCTTTAAATACATTCATACCCAGAAGGTCAATGTCCGATAGGATCCAAAAAGTACGACTTATTAGGCCGACACTCTTACCCTTCCTCCAGGTCCAGACTCACATCCCAGCTCCTCACAGACTCGTGTAGCCAAACTCATGGCAGATATCCTGCGGGGCTGTGTGCACACGATGTTACATTTCCCTGAGGCCCATTTGTTCAGAAGAAGATCCTCCAGCAAGAATTGAGGCACCTGGGTGCTCTTACCACTCCCAGTCTCTCCAGCCACCACTATAACACGATGCCTGTTGAGTGTCTCCAGGATAAAGTCTCTGTGTGCAAACACTGGCAACTGCTTCCGCTCATTTAGTAGCCTTTTGTACTTTGCAGAATCGCGGCACTTACAGAAAATGTTTACTACGGCTTCTATATTCTCCTTTTCCACTGGAACTGATGTTTTCTGCTCTAGTTCTTCATCTCCAGCTAAGTTTTCCCATGAGTCTTCTGGGTCTTCTGAAACCTTACATTCCTTTGCAGGTATGTTGAGCTGTTGCTGTAGCTTCAACTTATTCAGTAATTTGGTAATAAACTGGTCCCTAGGTTTGTTGGATTCTATTTTGTTCTTTTCCTCTTTGCTCTTCTCATCATCACTCCATTCCAGCCAAACATCTCGGTATGTTGGAGGCAGCAGCTGATGAACAGACTACAAACATAAAAGAACAAACTGCTTAAATGACATTTAGGATGTATCACTGTGGCTCAGTTGTCATGTACTGTAGCTCTATGCTCCTAAATCTAAATCTGAAATGAACATACTCTTTACAAAGAACCGTGGCTCTGCGTATCCATTCACATAGAGCCATGGTTCGGCCCCTCGCTCTGCTGATTGGCTCCTGCTGCCTCAGCCGATCAAGAGTGAGCGTTCCTGGAGAACCAAGGCTATTGTGGAAATCGCTGAACTGGGATGGGGCTCAGGTAAGCGTTACGGGGGCTGCTACACACTAAAGGTTTTTTACCTTCATGCATAAAATGCATGAAGGTAAAAACACCTTGAGCATTTAGAACCACTTTAACAAGGCCCCACGATTTCTAACTGTGCCCCTGCTTAGCCCACCCAGACAACACAAACCAAGTAAAAAATGGATGGATGTTCTGCAATGTGTAGGAATCATTTGAAAGAAAGACTATGGATTTGGTCTTGGTACAGGTAAGGAAGATGGCTGGCAGAAAGAGCAGTGCTGGACACCCAGAGATAGTTGCCTAGGCTCAGTAGAGGTCTGGCCAGGGTCACAAAAAAGGAGAGAGTCGAGGAGTGGAGATCAAGACCTCCTCTGTGAAAGGATCCTGCAGAAACTCAATGACCACAAGTTAAGTTGACCGATACAGCACAGTCTATGGGGAAGCACCCTGATCCCCTACATTTCGGAAGGGTATCTGGTGCAATCACAAAATTATTTCAGTGGCTGATTCCAAGTCAGAAAATGCTTCCCCAGCTGTTTGTACAGTGCATTCTGCATCACCTATACCGAAGCAGCTCCGGGAAGTCTTGGGACACTTCTGGCTAATTGCAGTTATTGTGCCTGGAATCTGAAAGTTAGCAAAGTTCACTCTAAATCAGATAAGATACCATCCACAAAGGCCAACACATAGTGGGAAGCAGGAGGAGCAGCGTCCCAACCCACAATGTTTTCATGTGAGGAGGGAGGTAGTGCATGGCAAGCTGTACCTTCCTCACCCCATGTGTGCTCTGCTATTTGTTTTGTCTCTGGCTGGTCCGCACTATTTACAGTCAGTGCAAGGAGACTGACACAGGCAAAGAACACACAGCAGGGGGGCCCAACGACATTGCTGACTACTTCTGGGTAAACATGAAACCTGAAGGGTGGGCCTGGATCTGCACAGTGATGTTGGGCTGTTACGCTGTCACCACTGCAGAGGTTCGCCGGCTGTGGCTGCTTCAATTTGCCAAGCTATGGTTAACATCACTCCCGCGCATGTGTGTGGAAGTCTCGGGCGTGACACATAGCATACCCATGTCGTTCCTTCTGAGTGCATGCGTCAGGGACGTCAACAGCTGTCGCTCGCTAGAATATCTCCTAAATGGTGTATTTTTAGGAGATATTAATTTCACCCACGGGTAAGCCTTATTGTAAGCTTACCTACAGGTAAAAATAATTTTAAAAAAGTTTACTACCACTTTAAATATATTTACATTCACATTGTAATTTGTGTGATCTGATTTACATTGTTTGCACTGCTGTGGACAAGTGATGCATTATTTACTAATTAATATGCTGTTTACAGTGCTGACATTCAGTACCTTACAAAGAACACTGACGAATTCACATCAGTCAACAAGCACATGCAAACACACACCAGTGTCCTCCATGGTAATCGAACTAAAGGCAAAACTGCTAAACACATTCACTGTAGTATTCACTGTAAATCATCCTATAAAATGTATTAAAATTACTTGCTAACTAACTAACTGCTGGGTTGTCATTCACAGGGAAGAATACAGAAAGGTGTAGTCAGGTTCTGCATTATTGGAATCTACTGAAATAACTCATTTCTCCCCAAGTCTTCAGGTTTTTATAGTCTGGGGTGGAGGAGAACTAAAATTAACAGATATATACAATTCCAAAAAAAGCTGTGACTATTTTCTATTGTGAAAAAAATATGGGATTGTGAGATTTGCAAATCATTGCATTCTCTTTTTATGTAGATTTTGCATAACATCCCAACATTTTTGGAATTGGGATTGTAGAAATCTTAAGTGAGGTTAAACAGTGACCTTGTTTGATTTATTTAGATTAGTAATGTTACTTCAAATAGTAGTAGAATACTTAGCACAATACACAGAGTATATGTGTAAAACGTTCATTGTAACAAATTCTCACCTGGCCTTTGGTGAGCTCATACAGAGCTAAGGTAGCTGCAAGGTGCTGGGCCTGCATACTGTCTTCTGTTACGATTGTAGGGCACACAGACATGATGTTGTCAGTCGATTTCACAATTTTCACCCTGAAGTGATAGATCTTGTTACTGTCTATAGATCACTGCCATGAATGGTGATTTAACTGCATACTGCACAAAATAGCATAGTCTCTTAACCATGAAAATAAGAACAAAGCTGTCACCAACAACAACCAATCAGGTGCCAATTTTCATTTTATATGAAAATAAACAAGCACTCTGAATGGTAACTATGGGAAACAGGCAATTTTTCTTTTCTCTGGTTTTATGAATAAGCCCTGAAGACACTTACCTGCTCCTCCAATACCTGCCCACAGGTACCTTTTCAAAGGAAGGATTTGGGCTTTTAGTGTAATGTTTTCTGCACCAATCAATCAGAAACTGCTTTGGTGATTTACCCGTCCAGCTGCGAGATGTGTAATCAAAATTCCTCACATCAAGTGGAGGTTTCTTTTTAGCTGAAATATAGCAATGATGGATACATTAAAAACCTGATATAAAAGTACATTTCCTAATATTAACACTAGACTTTATCTGTCAATGTGTCTGAAAGAAGAACTGATGCCTGGAGCAAGCAAAAATTCTAATCTTTCTAACATAATTAAAACAAACCTGTATTTAACTTGGATTAGAGCAAGGTAATGGAAAAAAATCAGTATTTACATTACATTCCATGCACCCTCTTGCCACTGCAAAACTGCTGTGCAAGTTGTGAGCAAACGCTGTGTCATAGCTTACACAGAACAATGGACCCACCCCAACCCCTCGTTACAGCACTTGGACCAGGCAACTGATTGCCCAGGCATCAACCACTGCATTGTGGGTAGGTGGGGGGAAAAGATTCCTAGGTGTGAGTGGAAGGTAGATTTACGTTCTCTAACTTCCTTGCTCTAAGGAGAACCTGTCCTGATTGGTCCTGGTTCAGAGAAAGGGGAAACAAATTCACTGCTAAAAGCAACGCAAACTACTTATGATACTTACCTATCCCCCAGACACTCTGCTATATGTGGCTCTCTGTGTAATATTACATAGTTAGTCTGGCTGAAAAAAGACAAAAGTCCATCCAGTTCAACTATCAAAAAAAAAAAAAAATTATAATCTTACACCCACAGTTGATCCAGAGGAAGGCAAAAAAACCCAGCAAAGCATGAGCCAATTTGCTCCTGCAGGGGAAGAAAATTCTGTCCTGATCCCCCGAGAGGCAATCATATATTCCCTGGATCAACTTTACCTATAACCAGTTATATTCTGTGTATCTAAGAAAGAATCCAGGCCTTTTTTAAAGCAATCTACTGAGCTGGCCAGAACCAACTCTTGAAGGAGTCTATTACAATATTACATTGTGTCTTTCTAGAGTTCTTAATAATGAACCTCTAGCAGAACTCTGGAGCTGTGTCCACATTTGTAACATACAAGAGAATTTGTATTAAAGAGGAACACAGGCGAATCTGTAGCTTTTTTTAATTATTTCTATCTGCATATGTGATTGTCACCAGCATAATGGATATGACTACATAAAAGCATGTAAATCTTTTGCAAACAATATTTCCACTTACAGTCTTGAACTGCACATAGACACAGGAGAAGCCATACTGTATATGTGTTTATTACAAATGCAAGCTGAGCTTTCTGTTTAGCAGTGCAGTACAATACCTCTATTGCTCCAAACAGCTCAGCACCAGTCTAGCAAAAAACAGCAGAAAATGTAGGTGAGCAGAAATCTCACCTGCAACAGCAAGTTAGAAATTTAGTTCCTTGGTATCTACCATACTGATATAAGAATTTTGGATGGACTGATCAGCAATGCCCCTTTGTATGTCCTTCTCACCTTTCTCTTCTGTTCCCTCTTTAGCACTTTCAAACAAATTAAAGTTTAAAGCCTCATCTTCAGGAGGAGGAGGTGGAGGAGGTGGAGGAGCTGGAGCTTTTGTAGTTTCACTGTCCTCTTTTTCACTTTTTACTTCTGGAAGTTTCACATCAGGATTAAACATGGGGTGCTGCTCCAAGTTCTTCATCTCTGTGCAACAAACAAAAGATGTTTTTTGTACAATACAAGTAAAGAATTAAATATCAAGACATGTAGGTTGGTTGATAATTAGACAGATGCGCAAATTGATCCTGTACTCGTAGACACAGTGGCCGGTAGGAGGAACCACGGTGCCACCCAGAGGACAAGAAACCTGACCCAACTGGAAATGTTAGATAACGGCAATGCTGATATCTCTGCTAGAGAGTATAGAATGGGTGTTCCACCCACTGGAAAGGTAATTATTATCCTATTCTATAACAGGCTGCATATGTTGGTGCCAGAGCAGCACAAAGCTTTGGTGTTATTCCTTGTCCATGGCAGCTTTGCCTGTAAGGTATACAACCATGTGTCCAGAAACCACATTTCTACTTGTTAGCCAGCTCTGTCTGGGTGGGAGACAACCATGTGAAAAGAAATCACTTCCCTAATCACATGCTTGTCAGCTCACAGCCTCTGTGGGATCTACTCACCCTGGAAATGAAGCAGACTGAAAGACTTTTACAGTATAGGTTGTATGGAACATTTATATATTTTTAAATATTACAAAAAAAAAAAAAAAAAAGAATTCATTTTTCCAACCTTGCAGATATGTCCGAATTTTTTCCTGTGCCTCCCTCTGTCCTGCCTTGTCTTTGTCCTGCTTTGTGCTTGCAGCCTGTGCTTTGGCATCAAGCATCTTGGCAGTTAGTTCCAGATATCGTTCATTCTGCATGAAGAGGAATATCAAATATAAACTCCATGTAACAGCACAATTTCTCTGTATATCTATATCTGCATGGCAAAATGGTTTGGAATTGCCTGTGCTGTCAAAGATGCAAGATGTGAAGTCTATTACACTCACCGGGTCAAACTCTTCTACCTCTGAATCTTTATCGGGATCCACCTCTCTCTCCTCATCGTCACTTCCTTGCTCAGCATATCTTAGGATCCATTCTTTCATGCTCAGATCGTTTTCACTACTAGCCTAAATCAAAAGACATGCAGCAAATTCACTACACAAGTGCTATATACAGACATCATTATTAGTAATGTTTATTGATGCTTGAGAACTGGACAGAAAAGGGGAAGCGACAACAAAGCTATCCAGTGTTGAATTATGTGGTTACAGAAAAGAAGTTCTTTATATCCATTAGACAGTAGTTGGAATAGTTTTTTTTTTTTAAATGGTTCAGTCCAGTCAAGGTACTCACATTACTGGTCCCATGGGTATCTTATGGAATTGTTTGTACTGTACAGACCAGGTGTTTAGTGTGTAAGGTTATAGATTTTATTTTGAACTTTAAGTGGAATAAGTCTTAAAACAAATAGACATAAGTCTACTTTTTTCCATATACATTATTATTTGATAGAGAAAGTGTATGTAGTGTGTAATTATTAATACTAAAAAAAACCCATAAAATCATGATGTGGGCCTGAAGGCAACATGCCATATGTACATTGTAACCATCAATTAGAGGTCAAACACATATGGTTGAATGTTACCTAAACTACCCATGCCATGTAAGGGCCTGACAGCTTGTATTCGTGTCAGAACCGCTCCTGTTCCTACACAAGGCAATGGGAATTCAAAAGCAGCTTAAAGGCTAAGTTCAACATTGAAACATGTTACATGGCAGAGGACCATCTCCCCACTCCTGCTGTCACAATTTAAAAACAGTGCAGCCATGCAGGACTCCGCCCACATGGCTGTGTCATTCATTTACAGTTTCCAGCGAATGAATGCCTGAAGTACCATCATCCATTTTGGCTGATGCCTTGTAGTTCTTAATGAGCACTCTCGAAGTCCATTGATTACTCCTGCAATTCAGTAACTGCCTGCCTGTACAAGGTATGAGCAGACAGCTTACCGAGTATCTGCAGGATCCAAGCATTGCATCAGGCATCGCCGATTGTGGGTGCAATGCTTTACAGACTGCAGTGTAAAACAAATAAATGCGAATTGTATTACTTTCAAAAAGATGTGCATTTATTATTGAATTTAGGCATTAAAACAGGTGGCTGGAGCGTAGAATGAGGTCAAATGTCATCTGCAGGACAAATGCACCTGTCAATTAATCTTAAATGATCTCAGAAGCATTTCACACTGATCACAAATGCATATAGAATGCATCTGAAAGCAAACTGAATTTGCCCAGCCACACTAGTCTAAAGTCCCTCAACAGAGACTGCATGGATTTTAGTTAAAAGAAATAAATTAAAAAGGAAAAAAATAAATAAAATAAAAAAAACAAACACACACACACTTGCCAAAAGTATTGTGGCGCCTGACTTTACACGCACCTGAACTTTAATGGCATCCCAGTCTTAGTCCATAGGGTTCAGTATTGAGTTGGCCCGCCCTTTGCAGCTATAACAGCTTCAACTCTCCTGGGAAGGACGTCCACAAGGTTTAGGAGTGTGTCTATGGGAAGGTTTGACCATTCTTCCTGAACGCATTTGTGATGTCAGGCACTGATGTCGAACAAGAAGGCCTGGCTCACAGTCTACGCTTGAATTCATCCCAAAGGGGTTCTATCGGGTTGAGGTCAGGACTCTGTGCAGGCCAGTCAAGTTCCTCCACCCCAAACTCGCTCATCCATGTCTTTATGGACCTTGCTTTGTGCACTGGTGTACAGTCATGTTGGAACAGGAAGTGGCCATCCCCAAACTGTTCCCACAAAGTTGGGAGCATGAAATTGTCCAAAATCTCTTGGTATGCTGACCAAGACCTGCCTTAAGAGTTCCCTTCACTGGAACTAAGGGGCAAAGCCCAACCCCTGAAAAACAACCCCACACCATAATTCCCCTTACAAAACTTTACACTTGGGACAATGCAGTCAGGCAAGTACCGTTCTCCTGGCAACAGCCAAACCCAGACACGTCCATCGGATTGCCAGACAGAGAAGCGTGATAAGTCACGCTAGGGAACACGTCTCCACTGATCTAGAGTTCAGTGGCGGCGTGCTTTACACCACTGCATCCGGCGCTTTGCATTGCACTTGGTGATGTAAGGCTTGGATGCAGCTGCTCGGCCATGGAAATCCATTCCATGACGTTCACTATGCACTGTTGTGCTAATCTGAAGGCCACATGAAGTTTGGTGTTCTTTAGCTATTGACTCTGCAGACAGTTGGCGACTTCTGCGCAATTCAGCATGCTCTGACCCTGCTCTGTCATTTTACGTGGCCTACCACTTTGTGGCTGAATTGCTGTTGTTCCCAGTTGCTTCCACTTTGTTATAATACTACTAATGGTTGACCGTGGAATATTTAGTAGCAAGCAAATGTCACTGATGGACTTATTGCACAGGTGGAAACCTATCACGGTACCACACTTGAATTCACTGAGCTCCTGAGAGCGACCCATTCTTTCACAAATGTTTGTAGAAGCAGTCTGCATGCCTAGGTGCTTGAATATATACACCTGTGGCCATGGAGGTGATTGGAACACCTGAATCCAATGATTTGGAGGGGTGTCCCCATACTTTTGGCAAGACTTGAGAAAGATGGACTCAGCTTCATCGAAAAGTTGACAATAAAAAAACACTGTTGTTTTTGATCTTCCTCTTCTGCAAGACCCGTGAGTGCCTCTAAACCAGGTTTAGATTTTTATATCTATATATAGCACAGTGGCTAAATGGTTAGCACTTCCACCTGGCAGTACTAGGGTGGCTGCTTCGAATCCCAGCCACGGCACCTCCTGTCTGGAATTTGCATGTTCTCCCTGTGCCTGCGTGGGTTTCCTCGGGGTACTCCGATTTCCTCCCACACTCCAAAGACATGCTGGTAGGTGAATTGGCTCCTGTCTAAATTGGCCCTAGTATGTGTATGTATAAATGTAAGTTAGGGACCTTAGATCGTATGTCCCTTGAGGGTTAGGGACTGATATGAATGTTGTGGGGTTAGCTCAGGTGGGGGATCTCCTTCCCTGGGACAAAGGTAGACCGCACAGCAGGCTTTCGTCAAAATCTGACTGGTGGTCAGTTTTATTTAAAAAGGTTTGCAGAAAATATTAAAATGAACAAAACATCAAAATAAACCCTTGCCATCCAGGCACTAACTAAACAAAAGACGTTTCCTCTCTCAGAGGTGAAGGGCTTCTCTCTGTCACCAAAAACAAAACAAACGCAAACCTTTTCTTGTAGGTATAGTACACACACAGCTCTCTCAGAATACCTCTCTGAGTCCCAGGCCACGAGCAACTCCTTGCTCCAGCCCTGCCCTTTTTATATCACCTGTTGGTGGACATCAGTGGAGCCCAAACTCTGGTCCGGAACCACCTCTGCCATTGTGGCCCCGAAAACCCGGAGTGGACTCCACCTTACACCTCACAGTATGACCTCATGCGAGGCGACACATATCGTCCATCCATCACTTTGCCGTTCATACTGTCACAATGTACATTATATGTGTAAAATGCTGCGTAAATTGATGGCGCTACACAAGTACCTAAAATTAAAACACAAACACACGTGGATGCAGCATCAGTCCAATGTTTCATCTGTCCCCTGCCACCTCTAAGACTGAGAACTGAGATATCAAAGACCACAAATTGCTCGGTTCTCAGACTTCAGTCTACAGTGAGCTGGTGATTGTCAGTCACCAACTCTCTGCTCTGCCTCTCCAGCACTCACACTTGCACCAGACTATGGAGGGGGTAAGAGTGGCTGCCTCAGGCTCTCAGGGGCATGCTGAAAGGCTGAGCCAGCTGCCAGTCAAGCTTCTGGGCGGATCCTGACCATATAGTTGGATTCCTTTCAGAGCCGGGACCGGCTCTGTGACATTTGCGGACAGGGGCCTTTAGCCGACTTTTAGCTTTGACCACACTTCTTTAACTTGTGTGCGGAAATTACCACTAAAATGCATAGAGATGATCATACAATGAAAGAGACAAGCTTATGAGACAAGTCATAAGCTGACTGTTATGATTGGTTGTAGGCCTAGGTACAGAATTGTGGGTGCCTGACAGCATACACACTAACCTTTACAGCAGGGGCTCCCTCTGACTTGCCAGAGTTGGGATTGTTGGCTGGCTTGTGAGGAGGAGGACAATACTTTGCTCTAACTTTTTGCTCTTCCTCTACAAACTGCTGACTGAAGCCCTCTGGCAGAGCACCTGTGGAAGGGAAGTCATTGTTACTACTTTCCATAGAATGGACCATGACAGTATGATCCCATAGCTGAAAAGTTTACTTTACACTTACCATCTGGCAGGTTCAGGCAGAGCCAGTCTAAAGCGGAGTGCAAGTCTCCACCATACAGGATTGTGTTTGTCATGGCTTCCTCTATGTGTTCTGCTTTAAAATTAAACTCCTGTAAGGCCATATAGAGATCCTGCAGAGAAGTAGAACACAACATTAATTTTTTTTTTTCAAATTCTTTATTTATGCTGGACAGCAAGTGCCGTCCATATCAAGGAGAACAATACAACAAGTGCAGGAGTATTTAGATCTTACAAATACAACATTTCTGGGGCGTGAGGTCAACAAATAATAGATAGAGCACAACTTGACACTGAAAACGTAGAAGCTCCACAAGAACAGGTACAGTTGGGGGGGGGCTTAGTGCTTTTTTTTTAACACTACACCGAGTAAGTAAGAGGTAGAGAGTAAGAAAGGGAGAGAAGAGAAAAAGTCAACAGCCAGGAGAGGGAGGGGGAAACAAAAGGGGAGGGTGAAAAGGGCATGGGGGTCAAGAAGGGAGAGGTGCGCTGTGATAGTTAGACATCCCTCCAAACCACTAATAGTGCTTATCACGAGGAGAGACTTCCCTTCCTCAGAATATATGAACATGCTCCATTGTGTCCAAGTTTTAGAGTATAGCTCATGTTTATGTTGGTGCAATAGCACCAAATCTTCCATTTGGATCAGTTCCTCCACTCTATGCAGCCCAAGTCCAATAGACGAGGTCTTTAGGCCTCACCATCTCAAAGAGATGCAAGATTTGGCTGCATTTAAAAAATGGCATACGACCAACAATTTGTAGATTTTTGTCGGTAGACCACTGACATACAGCAGGAAAAATGCTGGGTCTGCAGGGGCTGACAAATCTATGAATTTTTATACTATACAACGGACCTCCATATAAAAGTGTGTGAGACTAGGGCAGAACCAAAACATTTGTAAGAGCATTCCTTCCTCCTCCTAATATCGCCAGCATTTATTGGAGACAGTGGGGGAGAACCTGTGTAAAATCACAGTTCAATACCACCGAGCAAGGATCTTGAAGTTGTTGTCCTGTACTTTTTCGTGCAGAGAGAAGATTTTATAGAGAAACAGATCATATTGGTCTTTTGAAGTCCATGAAGGTTCTTTCCAAGTCTGCCTCCCATTTCTTAAGATATGGTGGGCAGAAGTCCTCAGGTGGTAGGACCAGAAGTGCATACAGTTTGGAAAGTGTGTGAGAAATGTATCCGTGCCAGAGCAGTACTCTTCTAGCATGGTAACGAGCGTTGAAAGCCCTTAGGAGCAGGAAGTGAATGAAGAAAGTGATGGATTTGGAGAGCTTTCCACAAGTCCAGTTTATAGGGACCCATTGGATCCATAAGGAGCTATACAGAGGACCAGGAACCATTTGTCAAGAAGTGGGAGGCCTGGAAGAGGCCAGAATGGAAAAGGGTCCCAAAGGAACCATGGAGGAGGCCCGGTGCAAATCTAGGGGTTTCCCAGAATTGGATAGGGGGGGGGGATTGACCTGGTAACAAGTTGGACGAGGTGAACAACGAGGAGTATATAGATGATGTTGTGCAAATGACAGGGTGCATCTTGAATGATAAAGGAGAGATAGTGTGGCACCACGGAGCACGATTGCGTGGAATAGGGGTTTGAGCCTGTTCAATTCTAGACCAGATTTTGACATCTGCATGGTGACACCTGTCCATCAACCTTCTGAGATGAGTTGCATGGTAATGTTTATGCTGATCCGGGACGTTGTATCCAGGGTCTCCATTGCGCCAATGAGAAATCATATAGAATAGCGTTAGGCTGTCTAAAGAATCGCAGGTGAATGCAGATGGGTAGAGCTTGGGATAAGTAGAGAAATTTGGGGAGAATACACATCTTGATGATATTGCAGCTCCCAAATCAAGAATGCGGACCCTGGTGCCAGGAGGACAGGAGTGAATGAACTTTCTCTAAAAGTGGGGGAAAATTCAAGGCAAAAGTGTGAGTTATTTGTGGGGGGGGATCAGGGTACCTAAGTATTTCAGAGACGCCGTAGACCACTTAAATTTAAAGTTTGTTTGCAGGGAGTGTAAGAGAGAGTGTGGCAGCATCACGCCATTGCTTCTGACTTGGTGAAATTAATTTTAAGGTTGGAGAGGGCGCCATAACATTTAAATTCGCGGAGAAGGTTGGGTATAGATATCCTCGGATTAATCAATGTGAACATCATGTCGTTAGCATAGGCTGAAATCTTATTTTGGACCCCTCCAACCTCCAGCCCCTCTATGTCTGGGTTCCACTGGATTGTGCATAGAAAGGGTTCCGATGTGAGGGTGAAGAGCAAGGGAGATAGTGGGCAGCCCTGTCTGGTTCCGTTACTAATGGGAAAAGGATCCGAGAGGATGTCATTGATCTTAAACGACACTGTGGGAATAGTGTATACACAAGATATCCAACGGCACATATTCTTCCTGAGCCCAATGTGTTGGAGGACCGCAGACATAAACCCCCAGTCGACCCAGTCAAAGGCCTTCTCAGCGTCTGTACCCAAGAGCAAACAGGGGAGAACACAACACTATTAAATAAAGATCAACAAAGGCCAAAATATAAACTACAATAAAGAGTTTACCTTTTTTTTTTTTTTCACTTTATTAGTCTCTACACAGGCTTATCTAGGACTATTGCACATCTCTATGGTACTTATACCAGAGTAGATTTACAAAGATATACAAACCAATTTATTAGGAGATCAGTTATACAAAACCACCCCAGCAGACTGACTAACATAGCAAATGAGGATGTGTAAAGTGCAATATGCAATGGCAGCCAATCTATTTTCAGATAACTGCAGTCAGTTAAAAATTGACTGGACATTGGACGCTATACTGCCATTGCAGGTTACAGGCATCGGGGATGTTATTATGCTCCTGGCTTCATTACCTGCTGAGTAAATGACCTACAACAAGCAAGAAGGATGCTTGTTACAGGTCAGCAGCTCACTATGAAGTGATGCCTCAAAGCTTGCACCTTTTAAAGACTGGAGCACATCAGTGGTGTCAAGCATTTACCTAGAGATGCCGGCAAATGTTCTCACATACACCATATTGTGCTCTAGCAGCTATTAGGTCTGGGAAATTTGAAATAGTGCTTAGCCTTGCACCTTACTATTGGCCCATACATGACTGGTCCAAGATGGAGGCATAGGAAGATGTGGTTCTGAGCTGACTTCCATAAACTGAAAAAATTCACCTAATTTGGAGTGACTTCCTCTCACTTCCTGTTGCGCTTCCAGGACAGAAGTCAAGGGAAATCTCCCAGAGGGGACAAAAAAACCTGACAATGCTTTAACCCTTCACATACACACTATTGTTTTTTTAAGCTCCTAGAAGCTATTATGAGCATTTGTTTCTGTTCCTAGAGGCTAATAGTGTTCTCCTATGTGTCCATGCACACTAGTTTATGCTAGAAGCGTTTTTCAAGCTTCAGCGTTTAGAAGCAGAAACATTTTTATTTGGGGAGTGTTTACCTGGCAGAACGAAACGCTGAATGTTCCTAGCAGCTGTTTTCGAGCATGCTTTTTTTCTTCATGTACTGTAAAAATGGTAACTCCGCTAAACGCTACTAAATCGCTACAACAAGCTGCCACAAAAACACTATTATCAGTGTTTTCATCCAGCATTTTCTTCAAGCGTTTTTAGAGCTTATAAAAAAAAAAAAAGCGTGCATGAAGCCTTTAGGGATTGTATTAATTAGGTTAAATACTACATGAAATTAATAAGATACATCACTTTTAAGTAGCATTGTTAGTAAATATTGTTAGAATTGAAATGCAAACCTGTAACTTCTTGGAAGTCAACCTTCCGGACACCATTCCTGTATCTGAATTTAGTTTTTTGTGCTCGTTTATTAAATCAATTATCCTCTTTTCCAGTTTACTATCAATGACAACCTGTTGATAAACAGAAAGCAATTAAAATCTATATTACTGCATTTATGTGATCGTGAACATCCTGCTGCCAACTGTAGATATTTGCAATAAGCTATGGACAATCTACATGCTCTCCCTGTGCTTGGGTGTTTTTTTTTGGGGGGGTATTCTGGGTTCCTCCCAGGGGCGGACTGACAACTCATGGGGCCCCCGGGCAATAGGGGATCATGGGGCCCCTGTCTCCTTGCCCAAACTCAAAAAAGCCTATGAAAAAGGTACCAGGGGCACCTCATGGGGCCCCCTACTGACCCCGGGCCCTCGGGCAGTGCCCGAGTTTCCAAATGGGCAGTCCACCCCTGGTTCCTCCCACACTTCTAATATGCTGGTAGGTTAACTGGCTCCTGTCTAAATTGGCCATATTATGTGTGTATATGCATGTGAGATAGGAACCTAATATTGTAAGCTCCTTGAGAACAGGGGATATTTATTGTTAGCATTATATAAATGAATACAATTACTAAGAAATTATATGCTAAGCTGTTTCTGTGAATATCACTTATCTCAAAAAAATGGAGGTGGTTCAGCTTGCCCTAAAGTAGATCTGCCATTGGGAAGATCTGATCACTGCATGACTGTTCACTTTGGTATAAATGTGTGTATACCAGCTGACTATGGTGGACCTTTTCATTTGATCTTTGCCGGGTGTTGCTGTGGGGATGGGGGAAGGGTGCAGCATGACTATAATAACAGGTTTGCCTGAAGTAGCTAGCACATATTAGTAGGTGGGCAAAATTTCTTTCCACAAACCTGTAGGTTTGCATAAGGTGAGCATACTTTTAGTACCAAAAGAAGAAGAGGAGCCAGCTTTTTACAGAGGAAAACCGGTTATTGGTTGGCGACGTCCAAGCATGCCAACCAATCAGCTTGAATAGGGGATGTCTGCAGCAATATGGCACAGCTACATCTACAAACATTCCACCATCGGACCATGACCAGCCAGATAACATTCTCCTCTGTCTGCAGACACCATTACACTGCCTACCTTGGTAACCCCTTATAATACAGGATTGCTCAACATTACCTATAATCAAACATGAGTATATACCAACATATGTACTAATGAGTATAAATATCCAATAAAAACAGCTTGCTATAAAAGGTTAACAGTCAACGAAACATAATCATTCAGTATTATTTTCTTAACGTTGAGCCTGGGTTCACACTTGTGCGGAGCGGCATATCGCATGTGATTCGCACAGGAACCTCACCGCATTCCTGTGCAAATCACATGCGAATTCTGTGCGGTGCAATTTGAACCAAACATTTTGTATGGCTCAAATTGCACCAAAAAGGTGCAGGACCCTTTTATGTATTCACACCCATGCGATCTGATTCTGCACATCGCACCGCGTTTTGCAAACCTATGTCGTTAACTTTACATACACACCCACAGTGGTTCGCATGAACGGGATGCGGATATAATGCAGTGCGGAATTCCCACAAAAACTGATGTTAATTCCGCACCGCATCAGTGTGAACCCAGGCTGAAAGAAAAGATTATTTTGAAACAGATTTAAACACATCCTATACAAACAAAGCACCTATGCTGACCTTCAGTACAGATTTGTCATGATTCACTGAAGCTCCCGGATCAACAGCAAAACTGTATGTTTTGGGTCCTAAAAAAAAATAAAAAGTTTAGAGAAAGACCATAAAAACATTATTATTCAGTGCTAAAATCCAGAATAAATATTATAGACGAATTCCAGGCAAACAGCTACATACAGGATGCTGTTTTACAAATCAAAGAATACAAATTCTTTTCTTCCATTCCTGAGATTTGCACAGGCAGGAGGATAAAACCACTTAAAAGGTAAGCAATATAGTGGGCTCCTCTCTCAAACCCCAGCAGGCTGATTGGACAATGGAAGAGCAGCAGTGGATTGATTAGGCCATCCCTCTGCTCTCTCCTTCTAGCGGCATATTCAATGTCAATACATTTGCAGACAGCACTTCTATCTGGCTCCCAGTCCTGCCCCTCCCTTTCCCAGTAAGAGTTTTGCTCTATAAGAGCTGCAATCAGTTTCAACAGTTTTATGTTAAATATACATTTAATAATGTAATAATGAACACAGAGCTGCATTAATTTGTGTCTTTTATATCTGCCTGGAGTTTAGCTTTAAAGAATAACTAAAGGCAAAACATTTTTTAGTTGTGGACAGAGTGGAGAGGCAATAGAACACCTGTCAGGTTTTTATTGCTGTCCGGACCCCCCCTCTATTTGTCCTGTTTACCACTACCACTGGAAGTGAAAGAAAATGCCGACTTTTGGGTTGTCTCCAGAACAGTAATAGAAGGGAAAATCTTCCAATGGGACATTAGTTCTGGTGACAACCAGAGAACCCTCTTTTGAGGGATTTCCTCTCAGTTTCTGTTTTGCTATAGGACAGGAAGTGAAGGTAAATCTCCCTAAAAGGACACAGATCGCAAAAAAAAAAAAAAAAGTTTTGCTATAAGCATGTTCACACACTATACATAGCAACAGAAACCGATTGGCTCAGATATAAAATGTTTTTCCGTGCAAAGTAATAAAGGAGGATGATGGCCAGACAAATTTAGGCCATGCTAGTTTTGCTTGTACAGTCAGAGCCCATCCACGCTATGTTAGCTACGCCAGTTGTGGTAATACAACTGTTACCATGCACTATTTTGCAATGTGCTACAAGTATTTTATATTGGGGAACAAAAAAAAAACCCTTTTCCTTGTTTTTTGAGATGTAGAACAGATCTCTGGGGATGTTCCAGAGTAGCTTCCCCTCTCCACACCAAAGCTATAGTAAAGGCAAATGAACTGTTTTCACATAGAATTTTCAAGTTGGAAAATCCCTTTGTGCTTCATAGCCAACCATTGCTTTTTGTGACAGAAAACAAAGCTTTTACTGTATCCAGAACAAAATCTACTAGTCCCTAAAGTAGTATTAAACCCAAAATCAAAGATGTGATATATTGCAGCTTACAAATCATTAGATGTGGTGGCTGCCTTAGTTTTCTTTTTTAGGCTAACGTCCTCTGTTTTCATCTGGTGATCTGGCCAGTAAAAACTTTCTGTATTAGAATGCCTTCACTCTAGATGAATGAGCACAGGGGGCACCTTTGGACAACAGCATTGTCAACCTGGGGGGAGGGGAGTGTCACAGCAGCCTTTTGTCATGTGATAAACTGTGTCCAATCACAGCTGACCACTATGTAAATACATTTGCTGGTTATCGGCGGCACTTTCCTCACTCTGTCACAGCGTGAGAAAGGTACTGCCAGTGACCGGCAATCTTCAAATCAGACATCTGCACTGATAATCAGGGCACTGATTACCAGTGCAGCCCCAAAAGTGCTGCCCATCAGTGCCTAGCAGTGCTTCTCTTCAGTGCCTGTTTGCAAAATTTTATAATAGAAACAAAGACAACCTTTTTTTTCATAATTTTAGCTTTTTTTTGTGTATAGTGCAAAAAAAAAAAAACACCCAGTGGTGATTAAATAGCACCAAAAGAAAGCTCTCTATTTGTGTGAAAAACATTATAAAAATTTCATATGGGTACAGTGTTGCATGACTGCGCAATTGTAATTCTAAGTGTGAGAGAGCTGAAAGCTGAAAATTGGCCTGGACAGGAAGGGGGTCTCACTATTAGTAGTGCTCTGGAGGTGAAAGGGAGCTTGCAAATAACTCCAGCTGTAGATATAATAATTATTTTCACACTGATCTCACTGAACATAACTTCTGATAATACATGATTCAGGATATACCGTATTTTTCGCTCCATAAGACGCACCTAGGTTTTAGAGGCAGAAAACTGGAAAAAAAATATTCTGAACCAATGGACTGCAGACATAGTACAGGAGATGACCAGAGACTGAAGACACAGTACAGGAGATGACCAGAGACTGCAGACACAGTACAGGGGATGACCAGAGACTGCAGACACAGTACAGGGATGACCAGAGACTGCGGACACAGTACAGGAGATGACCAGAGACTGCGGACACAGTACAGGGGATGACCAGAGACTGCGGACACAGTACAGGAGATGACCAGAGACTGCACACACAGTACAGGAGATGACCAGAGACTGCGGACACAGTACAGGAGATGACCAGAGACTGCGGACACAGTACAGGAGATGACCAGAGACTGCACACACAGTACAGGAGATGACCAGAGACTGCGGACACAGTACAGGAGATGACCAGAGACTGCACACACAGTACAGGAGATGACCAGAGACTGCGGACACAGTACAGGAGATGACCAGAGACTGCGGACACAGTACAGGAGATGTCCAGAGACTGCGGACACAGTACAGGGGATGACCAGAGACTGCGGACACAGTACAGGAGATGACCAGAGACTGCGGACACAGTACAGGAGATGTCCAGAGACTGCAGACACAGTACAGGAGATGACCAGAGACTGTGGACACAGTACAGGAGATGACCAGAGACTACAGACATAGTACAGGAGATGACCAGAGACTGCGGACATAGTACAGGAGATGACCAGAGACTGCGGACATAGTACAGATGACCAGAGACTGCGGACACAGTACAGGAGATGACCAGAGACTGCGGACACAGTACAGGAGATGTCCAGAGACTGCGGACACAGTACAGGAGATGTCCAGAGACTGCGGACACAGTACAGGAGATGACCAGAGACTGCGGACACAGTACAGGTGATGACCAGAGACTGCGGACACAGTACAGGAGATGACCAGAGACTGCGGACACAGTACAGGAGATGACCAGAGACTGCTGACACAGTACAGGAGATGACCAGAGACTGCTGACACAGTACAGGAGATGACCAGAGACTGCGGACACAGTACAGGAGATGACCAGAGACTGCAGACATACTACATAAAGTCCCAACAGGGCCCCTCCAACCAGAATATCAAATGATCTGACACCATACATCAAGGAAAAGGACTACAACTCCCAGCATCTGTCATTTTAAGTTACAGAAGGCAGGCTATAGAAGGCAGGGGGCGCACTGAGCTCCGAGGACAGGCCACACCCGCAGACCGGACTGGACTGTAGAGCAGGGAGCACACTATGGACACATGCCAGGAAAGGGGAGGCGCTGTAAGGACAGGCCACACCCGCAGACCGGACTGCAGAGCTGGGAGCTCAGTACATAGACATGCCAGGAGCGGGGAGGAGCTCCGAGGACAGGCCACGCCTGCAGGGCGGACCGGACTGCAGAGCAAGCTGGCTGGGTTCGGCGAGGGGACTGCCTGCTATGAAGAGCTGCGGGGACAGCCCACTGAGAGAGGGCAGGGTGAACTTCGGTGACAGCCTGCAGTGGGATGGGACAGGCTGCACTGGGATGGGACAGTCGCTGGCACTAACACGGCGGCGGTGAAAGGTGGAGGGACTGGTCAGTATTCGCTCCATAAGACGCAGAGACATTTTCCCCCATATTTTTTTGGGGAAAAAAAGTGCGTCTTATGGAGCGAAAAATACGGTAGTTGGCATTTTTGGAGGTAGACTTTACAGAAAGCCACGGAACAGCATGTCCCAGGTGATGATCAACTTTGAAGCTATCTCAAGGGCTACTTAATCATACAAGAGATCAACCACACTTTCTCAATTCCCTTGATGTGGAAGACATCCAGAGCTCTCACAGTGAAAAGGCGCTAACTTATAGTTTGTACCTCTGTAAAGTTAAAGAGAAACTCAGTTTTTGTTGAGAAAAAAAAAACAATCCCCTTCGGGTGATCTATGTACATAGCAGAGATTTGTTGCAGATTCCTACCTTTTGTTGCTCTGAATAACTGTTTTGTTCTGTCAAATGTATAAAAATATATCTGAAAGGCAGTGACTTTTTCATTATCAATCAACTAGTGCACTTGCAGTGTTATGAGGAACACTACAGGGTTACAAACCCTTTAGAAGTGATTACCCATTGGGAGTATCATCAAAAATGACATTTGTGTTGCACAGTATGCCTAAAATCTGACTTGTATGTTAGTACAGACTTCTTGGAGAATCAGAAAGCCGTTCACACCAGCAAGAAATGACATTTCTGAACATTTCAGGCTGCTATATGGCATTGAATGTTACAGAAAATTAAAGAGTTCCGGATTGAAAAGGGAAGGTATTTTAATAATGTCCAATTACAATACGGTATGTGTAGCAAGTGTATATGTTTGTATCACATGAATACAATCATGTATCTCCATATAGTGTAATTATAAATCAAAGTGACCACTATATATAATAAATGTGTGTTGACTCCCTCTAGTGAAAAGAAAAAATAGTGTCAACCAAAATAGCTAAATAACACACATTAGGAAACTAAATATATAGTGCATAAATCAAATATAATGAACAGAATATATATACGTGAAAACAGAATATTGGCCACATACAATGGTGTCTAAATTATACATAAATGATATATGCCATAGGTGAACAAGACAATATCAAAGGTGAAAAAAATATTCCATGCATGTGACTGTGCTTTAAGCTGGAACACACACGTGATCTCCACTTCTAAGTGCAAGTACTCTCCTTCAAATGGCAGCAATGCCTGCTCACCTCCCTTCCTCGACCCACACAGGGCCTCAAAGCAGTTACCACCTCAGTGGTGTATTCCTCTGGCAGACTCCTTATTCCTCCTCCTCTCTTATGCAACTCATAAAAAGACAAGAAAGCCTTCCATAGTGTAGTAAATTTAATAGGCAAAGTTAAAAATTACAAAGTTTTCCACTCACATGCTCCTTTCCATAAAAAAGTGTTTTTCCCAGCCTGTGGGTAGATATGCATGCACCTGGGGGAATCCAATATGGCCACTGTGTCCGGACATACGTCACCAGAAAGTAGACAAACCGACGCGTAGCGTCACGTGCGTCGTGACTTCACGTGATGAAGTCACGACGCACGTGACGCTACGCGTCGGTTTGTCTACTTCCTGGTGACGACGTATGTCCGGACACAGTGGCCATATTGGATTCCCCCAGGTGCATGCATATCTACCCACAGGCTGGGAAAAACGCTTTTTTTTATGGAAAGGAGCATGTGAGTGGAAAACTTTGTAATTTTTAACTTTGCCTATTAAATTTACTACACTATGGAAGGCTTTCTTGTCTTTTTATGAGTTGCATAAGAGAGGAGGAGGAATAAGGAGTCTGCCAGAGGAATACACCACTGAGGTGGTAACTGCTTTGAGGCCCTGTGTGGGTCGAGGAAGGGAGGTGAGCAGGCATTGCTGCCATTTGAAGGAGAGTACTTGCACTTAGAAGTGGAGATCACGTGTGTGTTCCAGCTTAAAGCACAGTCACATGCATGGAATATTTTTTTCACCTTTGATATTGTCTTGTTCACCTATGGCATATATCATTTATGTATAATTTAGACACCATTGTATGTGGCCAATATTCTGTTTTCACGTATATATATTCTGTTCATTATATTTGATTTATGCACTATATATTTAGTTTCCTAATGTGTGTTATTTAGCTATTTTGGTTGACACTATTTTTTCTTTTCACTAGAGGGAGTCAACACACATTTATTATATATAGTGGTCACTTTGATTTATAATTACACTATATGGAGATACATGATTGTATTCATGTGATACAAGCGCTTCACTAATTTTTAATTTTATTTTGCACTTATTGGTATCAGCTAAGTGACAGCAGCTGTATTTTGTCAATTATTCCCATGAGCGCAGGAGGATCCCTTATTATTTAAGTGTATATGTTGTTACTTTTTTCTTTTTAATTTCTATATTTTCCCACAAAAGTGGGGTTACCTTTTAGGCTTGCCATACATGATTTGTTTTTTTTTTCGATCAGCGTTTAGGCAGCTTTAGTCCATAGTACCTTCCATAGTACCAGGAGAATCCGCAGAGGTGCGCAAAAAGAAAAAACCCGTTAAGTGTACAAAAAAGGTACTAGTACACAAACACAAAAAAGTGCACTTAGGGGTGTGCTTTTACTCCTTAGGACCTCTACCCTGATCCCTTGGAGCACAAGGCTCCTGACAGGGACAAATTTTCCAACCTGGTCCACCTAGCTTGATTGATGTGACGTCATTACGTTTCCCAGAGGTCTACGGCGCATGTGCTGAGCAGCTGGGTTCGTTTACTGTGTTTGACATTCTGTTTATGCTGGTGTCGGCTAGGACACCGTTTGCTGTAATTGCAATGTGTGCATATTAAACAAATCTATTTTAAAAGGTACTGCACTATGAGCTGTTGTTTTTTCCTGAGTGCCTGGTCTAATACCCTATGGAGGTGTCTATAAGAAGTGGATTTTCCTAGTGACACATTTGACTGCAGAGTATTGCTCCCTGGATATCGATTTGCTAGCCAAGTGGTGGGTGTTGCAGAGTATTGCTCCCTGGAGATCATGTTTTTAAAGCCAATTATCATTTCATCAGCCTGCTGACCATTGCTCCCAGAGCAAAAGCACTTTATGCTGGTTTATAATATTATCAGCATTTATCTCTGGTGAGTTACTTTAGTATATTTGGTGGTGGATTGTCACTTTTTTTATATATTTTTTTCACTTTATTTGGACTTTATACATGATTTTTTTCACTTCATTGGACTTTATTTTTATATTTACGTGTTTTGGGACATTTATTCACATATATGTGTATTTATATATATTTTTTTTTACTAGCGCAAATTATTTTGTTTGTTTTTTTGGACCCCTTTCCTTGTGATCAGCCGAAGCCGATCACCAAGTACTAGGTTGAGGGGCTCTCCCGAAGAGAGACCCCCGCAAGGATAGGGGGGAAGAAGGAGCCTGAGAGCCACATATACTCCCCCTAAATGTCAGGGCAGGCCGGAGGACCCACACCCTCCATCCAGTGAGGAAAATACAGACAGACAGACGCACGCACACACAGGAATTGGTAAAATTAATTGAAAGACAGAGACAAACATTTCTACAAGACAGGCTGTATAATTCATTTGATTGCCTCTGCACCATACAGTCAACTTCCTGAGGCACAGGTGGACTTCTTATATCATTGTTGTCCATTGCTCAAGAGCTGCATAGTCAGAAAACCGCAGATATCAAACAAGTGAAATGTCATTGTTCCTTTCTTCCTTTCCATTTGCTTAATCCCTCTTCATCCCCTGCATTTCCTCACACGGTGCTGATTGGATATGACATTATACTTACCCATGCCACTTTGATGCTATTGATATGCTTGCACTATACCTATGTTAATTGCTGCAATGTGTGTAAAACTTTGGTGACCTTCATACAGTACGCTAAATGTGTGGAAATCTTTAAAAAAAAAAAATCAATATACAGGTTAAATAACAAATGACAGAAATTGCTGGGCTCTGATATAGAAACAGGGATAAGCTTGTCAAAGTCACATGACAAGTCGCATCCGATTAGTGGCAATTGAACCGTTCAAATTGGTGCGTCTCAAGTCACAGCGACTTTGAAAAAGGTTCCTGTTTTATGCAACTTCATGGCAATTTGCATTTACATCTGTTAAATGAAGTCACACAGAGTGTCAGCAAGCCACAATGTAGTCGCACTGAATAGTCAGCCTTGAAGTTGCGTGAATTCAAAGCCGCAAAGGTGTGAACTAGGGTTAAAGGTAACTCCAGCCTCTTACCTTGCTTGTTCCGTGGCTCCTTGCCCCCTGAAGATCCACTTGCAGGTTTACCAGTTTGTCTCTTTGTTGAATCCTCTCCAGCAGCCCTAGGTTCTGCTGCTGCCCTGGATCTGTTTGCCGCAGCAACCACTCCCTGGACAGAAGGAGCATTACTGTGACGACTTTTCTTATTTTTTCCACCCATTTTTCAAATCCTCGGGAGGATACTTTTGTCTATTGACACAAAAAGAACAACAACAAACATTACATGGCAGTCTACATTTATACCATTTACATAACGTCTGCAAAGGGAAGAAGAGGTGGTTGATCATCTGTCATGTGGTAAAAAAGCAGTCTATGTAGCAAATCTTCAAAACCGTGTAGTAGGTACAGTACTGTGCAAACGTGTTAGGCAGGTGTGAAAAAATGCTGTAAATTAAGAATGCTTTCAGAAATAGAAGAGTTAATAGTTTATTTTTATCAATTACCAAAATGGAAAGTAAATGAACAGAAGAGAGATCCAAATCAATATTTGGTATGATCACGCTTTGCCTTCAAAACAGCATCAATTCTTCAATTCTAGGCACACTTGCACACAGTTTCTGAAGGAACTCAGTAGGTAGGTTGTTCCAAACATCTTGGAGAACTAACCACGGATCTTCTGTGAATGTGGGCTGCCCCTGGTCCTTCTATCTCTTCATCCCAGATAGACTCCACCATATTGATTTCATCCGAATCTAGGGGGATGCTAGGGTGGGCTGCGCCCCCCGGATTTCACTTGCGCCCCCTCCCAAGCCATCAACTCTCCAAATTCATGGCTGCTGATAAGGTGATAGTCGGACACGGGTCCCAGAAAGTCTGTGGGGGGATGGCGAGAAGGCAGGGAGGCTGTATATTGAGTTGCCACCATCTTCTGTATTATAATACATGTCCTCCCGGCTGCTTGCATAGTAAGCTAGCCAGCAGGGACTCGGGAGATCCTGAGTGACGTCAAGGGAAGGGGCTTTAGAGAGGAATTCAGCTACCCTTTGGTTGAAGAGACAGCAGGAGGCGGGCAGCACTGCCTCCCACTGCCTCTCCAGCCAATAAGTACACAGGGTGCACTGTCCATCACTACAATCAAGTCTTCATCCTGCGGGCTTGTTGTATTGGTGCGGGATGGATCAGCTCTGCCATGAAGATCTTGCAGTGATTAAGGCAAGGGAGGAGTGGAGTGTAACGAGGGGGCTATGGGGACCCTGATGTAAGTCGGGTGCCATGGGGACCCTGATGTAAGTTGGGGGCTATGTGGACCCAGATGTAAGGAGGGGGGCTATGTGGACCCAGATGTAAGGAGGGGGGCTATGTGGACCCAGATGTAAGGAGGGGGGCTATGGGGACCCTGATGTAAGGAGGGGGGCTATGGGAACCCTGATGCAAGGAGGGGGCTATGGGGACCCTGATGTACGGGGGGGGCTATGGGGACCCTGATGTACGGGGGGGGCTATGGGGACCCTGATGTACGGGGGGGGCTATGGGGACCCTGATGTACGGAGGAGGCTATGGGGACCGTGATGTAAGGAGGGGGATTTGGGGACCCTGATGTACGGAGGAGGCTATGGGGGCCGTGATGTAAGAAGGGGGATTTGGGGACCCTGATGTAAGGAGGCGGCTATGGGGCATAGCAGAGCAATATAAAGCAGCTTGCTTACACAGTAACACACACAAAATAGTATAACAGCACACAGTTAGCCCTTTGATCGCCCCAGATGTCAACCCCTTCCTGCCCAGTGTCATTAGTACAGTGTAAGTGCTTTTTATTAGCACTGATCACTGTATTAGTGTCAGTGAGGACGTCAGTGGTAGTTAGTCAGTTTTCCCCCCCACCGTGTCAGAATGACCGCCGCAGTCCCGCTATAAGTCGCTGATCACCACCATTACTATGTACACCGCTATTTGCAGATGCTAAAACGTTCACGTAAACCAATTAATTTACACGTATTTGGATTTGTTTATAGAATATTATTCTTTTTCTTTCAAACTTGTCAGTCTTTTTTTGTTTACAGCACTAACAATAAAAACCACAGAGGTGATCAAATACCACCAAAAGAAAGCTCCATTTGTGGGGAAAAAAAGGACATAAATTTCATCGCAGTGCCGAAGAAAAAGGGGGGTAAATCCTCTGGAGGGCAAGTGGTTAAACTGAAGACAGTTCCTTATGACATTGGCTGTATGTTTGGGGTAGATGTCCTGCTGCAGAATAAATTTTAAGCCAATCACACACCTACATCCACAGGAGGCGGTAAGTCTGTTATATTTGAATTTCCTTTAACGGACCAAGCTTTCCAGCAGATGTGGCAGTTAAGAGGGTTGAGATATACCTTTTAAAGTGGAATTAAAGTCAAATTTAAAAAAAAAAACCTTCCAAGCAGGCAGGCTATTTAGGCTACGTTCACACTAGCGTTATGTGCAGGCAGCAGAGAGGCGTTTGGGAAGCGTTTTTACTGCTTCCCAAATGCCTCTGCCAATTCTGCACATTACAGCACATGGTGTTGTTCTAACGGGAGCGTTTGTGTCACGTCGCGGCAAAACGGACGCCTCTGGTCCAGTCAGGAGGCGTTGAAGCCTCCTATTCTAGTCTATGGTGCCGCTCCGCAAACGCCCGGCCAGTGGTTGCGACGCGGTTGTGGGGTGTTTGTGGAGCGGTAACACCATTCAAACTGCATTATAGGCGTTTGTGGGGCGTTTTTAACGCTCGGCAAACGCCTAACAACCGCCGCTAAGCCGCGTATGCGGCGTTTGCGGAGCATTTGCCGTGCGTTAAAAAACGCCGGACCAACGCTTGCCAAACGCTATAAGGCGTTTGACAAGCGTTGGTAAAACAGTCAAGTGTGAACGAGCCCTTACAGCAGAAAAGAAATGCTATGTCTCTTCTGCAATAAAGAAACCTACCTGTCTGCTTGCAGGCCTCTCTACATTGTACAGTGAATGTGGCAAACATAGCTCACTTTACATTTCCAGCACATCACCAGGGTGTCGGGGTGACCAGCTCCTGTACATGCGCGGGAGTTATGTAATTCCACATTGGCCAATCAAGATGGCTGCAGACTGGCACCTGGAAGATGATGCTTGCCTCGGCTAAGAACCCTGCGCACTGCGGAGAGGAAGCAAGTATCTGCAGCTATACACATACTAGGGCCAATTTAGACAGGATCCAATTAACCTACCAGCATGTCTTTGGAGTGTGGGAGGAAACCGGAGTACCTGGAGGAAACCCACACCGGCACAGTGAGAACATGCAAACTCCAGGCAGGTGGTGCCATGGTTGGGATTCGAACCAACGACCCTAGTACTGCCAGGTGGAAGTGCTAACCACTTAGCCACAAGGGCAGCACAGTGGCTAAATGGTTAGCACTTCTACTACTAGGGTCGTTGGTTCAAATCCCAGCCAAGGCACCACCTGCCTGGAGTTTGCATGTTCTCCCTGTGCCTGCGTGGGTTTCCTCCGGGTACTCCGGTTTCCTCCCACACTCCAAAGACATGCTGGTAGGTTAATTGGATCCTGTCTAAATTGGCCCTAGTATGTGTATGTATGAATGTACGTTAGGGAGCTTAGATTGTACACCCCTTGAGGGTTAGGGACTGATGTGAATGTACAATATATATGTGTAAATTGACGGCGCTATATAAGTACCTGAAATAAATATTAATAATAAATAAGTCGGCTTTAACACTGACAGCTTTTATTTATGTAAAACCTTTATCCCGATAGGAAAACGATAACCGTTGCTGTAACTGTTTAACCAGTTGCGCACACATGTAAAGATCACCATTTTTTGGACATAAAATTGCCTAAAACCCCAGAACATGATGCATTTTCTGAAATCAGAAGATATGTAGAATATAAAGATAATAGTTACAATTTTTTATGTTGCACGATATTAGCGCACCTGTTTATCAAACGCATATTTTCAGAAAAAAAAATATAATAAAATGAATTTTAGTGCAAATGCACACAATATAATAGCCAATTGTTGGCAAAATATAAAAGATGAGGTTGTCTCGAGTAAATAGATAATTTCAAAACAAAAATGACACGGGCTAGGTTGACACTAGAACACGGTGCGGGAAACCCGCGATCTGTGCGCATTCCCTGTACCGCATTCAAAACGCACTGCAGGTGTCAATGGTAAGTTATCGACACGCCAAATGCCAGCTGCAAATGCTGTAGGTTTGCCTGCACTGGATTGTACATCCGGCTGTTTCATCAAAAGTAGTACTTTTGGTGTATTGCAGTTTTACAAGGTGAGGGTTTACAATCACTTTAACCCTCCACTCTCTGGACATACTCAGAGCTGAAGTAGTTAAAAGTGTTAGCTGGAGCTCGCCTTTAACTGCTTGCTGACCGCCACACCTAGGAATACGATGGCAGAGCGGCTCTCCTGTGCCGAATCTCATATCTAGTATTCCAGGTAGAGGGCGCACACGCTGCGCATGCTGTGATTTGTCACAGCACAAGCTATCAGCGGGTGCCGGCCAATGACAGACCAGCAGCACCCGCTGATCAGTAAGGAGGAAGACAGCGCAGAGCTCTGTCAATGTAAACAACACAGGGCTCTGTTTCCCTGCAAAGCTAGGATTAAAAACCAGCACATCCCTTAGGCTACTTTCACACTGAGGAGTTTTTCAAGCTTTTTTTTGCGTTACAAAAGCACCTGAAAAGCTCAAAAAAACTGCTTCCCTATGTATGTGAATGTATATCAATGTATGTTTTCACAGTGAGGCGGTTCGCTTGCAGTGCGGTGTAAAAACCCCTGCTTGCAGCATCTTTGGGGAGTTAAAATAAATGCCCCAAAAACGCCTCTTCCCATTGAAATCAATGGAAAACTGAAAACGCCCCTGAGAAGTGTTTTTTGGTGCAATTTTAAGTCATGTGTCCTTTAAAAAAACACGGCAAAAACGCCTATGCGTTCAGTGTGAAAGTAGCCTTAGTAAAAGCACCTCACAGTACACACATAAAAACCGGTTAGGCACACATTTAACCCTTTGATCGCCCTAGATGTTTAACCCCTTCCCAGCCAGTGTCATCAGTACACTGACAGTGTATATTTTTAGCACTGATTACTGTATTAGTGTCACTGGTTCCCACAAAGTGTCAAAAGTGAAAGTGTCAGACTGTCTGTCATACTATCACAGTCCTGCTATAAGTCGCTGGTTGCCGGCATT